TTAAATGTGAAAGATGTCCCACTGCAAGACAATCTGCCACTATGTTCCGTGCGGTTAGCACTGCCTCTAGTGAAAGCTAAAAAACCACAACCGCAGAGATACAGGTGTGCAGAAGCCTGTAGAGATCTTGTGAGTTAGTGGGTAAAAGTGTACTTTTGCAAAGCTTAATCTGCTGTCCATTACAACAGCTGTCTCACCAACATTAATATTTTACTAAATGTTGTATACTATGTGTTGACTTAATAATTCCTCTTGTGAGCAAAAAAATAACAGAACTGCATGTGAATGGGGGAATTTAAAAAAAGTGTCTGATTAACTGGGTTAATGCAGCACCTTTCGTGGAAACATGAGTTTGTGGTTAGTCGTGTTAGTTGGGCTAAAACTGATAAAACCCACACAACTCCACAAATAACAACAAAAAAAAATAGCTCTGTCTTAATACATGAGTTGTGTGTATGTTTTTATTTGGCTAAATTTTACTGAACTGTTTTGAACATTTTGAACATTTTGGTGATTAGTGATTAGATGATTAGTATGTTTATGACACTGACCCTAAACCCAGACAGATAATAAAGCGTATCTATATTATTTTTTATTGTCAAAGTGTCCTGATATATTATATTTAATTACATCTGATGATAGACGCCACTACAGTTTGGACTGATCTAATCTACATATTTCAATAGTAATAGTACATTGTAGTGACATTAATTGAAAAAATGCTATTTATTTGAAAAAAAAGTTTTATTGATATTTTTGTTGGACTGTGGTTTTCAGTTTTCTCACATGATTTGAGGGCTGAGGGGAAAAAAGTTTTTTTACGGGAGTGTTTGTTTCACTTCAGCAAGGGGAAACCACCATCAAACAGACACTCAACTCATCTGTGTTAAGTGGCTTTGTCTAAAGCGTGCTACTCTCACAGTCGACATGACTTCTGTCAGCGGTGAGTACGTTATCAGAGATTAACTATGATTCTTAAAAGGATGTTGTATGAGTTGTGGTGAATAAATGGATGTAAAAAAGCCATCGAAATAATCCAAGGAAGGTTAAAATCAAGGGCTGAACTGAAGAAGCCCCTTGGACGGAGGAGAAACGTCTTCAAGTATCTTCAGCCACATCTAATGGCCCTTGATTTTAACCTATCTCGGATAACTATGAGCTGAATGACTGAGAATCTTCACAGACATCGAATTGCTCATGTTTAAATGATTCAGAGTTAGCAATGTCAAAAGCAAATTTGATAAAAGTGTCAAAGATTTCAGATCAGATTTTGGGGCTGGATGGACTTTTCTGGTATCAAATGAATCAGTGACAGGTATTCTGTCTACCAGGGAGTGATGACAGCATGTAGCCTGTTCAGTAACCTACAACTAACGTGGTTGTGCATGTGTAAGATGACTGAAAGCGTTGTCAATGCCGCAACTGTTTCCCCCTCTTTAAAATCTGCTTTTTGAAGAGCAGATTGATTGAAAGCCACAACCTGGCAACACAGATTTTTTTGGGTGTTGATTTTACACATGTATGTGTAAATCAATTTTTTTTTTTTTTTTTTATTTCAACTTTATTAAACATTGACCATGCATAATATACATTAACTTCAAACTTCACTTGAAATCTGATGCATTACACAGAGATATAGTTAAACCGCAAATTTTCCATCCCCAGTCTCTAGGCAGATGAGCATTTAAACACAGTACACTACAGGCAACAAAATATTTCCTAAAAACAGTTAGAACTGTGCGTCTGTAGTCAATCGTTCGCCATCATTATTTGGGAGTAGCCCGAATTTTCTTCTTAATCTTACAGCGAAACAGAGATTAGAGACATTTTTCCTTTCAGACTGTGCACTGTTTTACTTTGATACTTTTATTAACGAAATCCCATCCCTTTTCTACCAACACACAAATAGAAGTTGTATTGATATCAGATTATCTGAATAACTGCAGTCTGTGCTGAAGTTTAACAAATAACCTTTAACAGTATGACAGTCAATGGCTGGGTACTTTATGACTACTATACTACCAAGTCCTTTTTTAAAATGACCTGGCTGCACATGGGGCAACTACCTTCTAACAATAAGCATTGGAAGGTCACCAGTAATCTGAAAAACATTCAACATATGCCTAGAAGGCTAGCTTTTAAAGGGGAACCCCACCACTTTTCCACATAAATGTCAGTTAACTAGTAATTCTTCTGTGGCTCTGTAGGAAATAACCCTAATAATGTCACTAGATTTTGTCAGTTTCAGCTTAGAGACTGCACATTTATAACAGAAAGGTTAAGTTACAAACTGGGGTTATGAAGTTTGAAAGACATGTACCAGGAAGACAGGGTCTAATATAAATATGCTATTGGTTGCGGTATGGGAAGTGTAGGGTGCAGCTTTTTTGGAGTTTTACGCACTAGGGTGTAAAATTCAGGATATTTCAGCTTCTTGCTTTTTCAGTTTTAACCCCTCTTTGGTTAATCTGTCTCTTGTGAGTTCTTTAACTTTGCAGAATTGTAGTACTAAATCACGGTACCTCTATCTGATCATTCTATTACTCTCATTACATGTGATGATTGTCTAAAATTGATTATTATTAATTATTATTATTATTTGTTTTTCAGATATCCTGAAGCTGCTGCCAGCTGGGCTGATATGGTCCATACAATTTAAGGTAAGAAAAACACAAGAAGTACAGCAGCTCTTACTATAAAGTTGAAAGATAACAGGATGTTACCACGCTTATAGCTATTTGTGTCCAGAAGTGCAAATGGCAGGTAACTGTCCCCTCACACGCACAACATCTTTCAAGGAAGTGGTTGGTAACCTTAAAGTACATAAATAAGTCAAACATGTCAGGTGCAGTGAAAAGCAGGTGGCATGCCTTACTTTACTTGTTACTTGCTTATAATTGATCATTAAATTCATCTTTGTACGCAGTCTTGCTTGTCTCTGCATGAAGACAATTCAACCGCCATGCCCAACTACACGGATTATAACTATAGTCTGGATTACGACGACATTCCTCAGCTCTGTGTGAAAGATTCCAACCGCCATTTCCGCCTCTGGTTCATGCCGACCTTCTACTCCATCATCTGCCTCTTGGGGCTCGCAGGGAACATACTGGTCATCCTCACCTTCTTCTACTTCAAGCGTCTCAAGACCATGACGGATGTGTACCTGCTCAACCTGTCCTTTGCCGATCTGCTCTTTGCTCTTTCGCTCCCCTTCTGGGCTGCCAACTCCACGGCAGAGTGGGTGCTGGGCCTGGCGTTGTGCAAAGCAATGCACACTATTTATAAGGTCAGCTTCTACAGCAGCATGTTCCTTCTCTCTTTCATTAGTGTGGACCGCTACTTCGCCATCGCCAAGGCCGTCTCCGCTCACCGCCACCGCTCCCAAGCAATGTTTCTCAGCAAGGTGTCATCAGCTCTCATCTGGGTGATGGCACTGATGTTCTCCATACCAGAAATGAGCTACACCACTATCAATAACAACACCTGCACCCCTTACTCCAGCACTTCTGACCCGCTCCGCGTCAGAGTCCAGGCGAGCCAGATTGTTTTGGCGTTTGCCCTCCCGCTCCTGGTCATGAGCTTCTGTTACAGCAGCATTGTCCAGACCCTGTGCCAGGCTCGTAACTTTGAACGCAATAAAGCAATCAAGGTGATTCTGGCTGTGGTAGCTGTCTTCCTGGTCTGCCAAGTCCCTTATAACCTGGTCCTATTTTGGACCACAGTTCTCGCTGCTAAAGGAGGAACCGAAAACTGCAACTATGAGAACCTTCTCCTTTATGCCACCGATGTCACCCAGTGTGTGGCCTTCCTGAGGTGCTGCCTGAACCCCTTCGTCTATGCCTTTATCGGTGTCAAGTTTCGTCATGACCTCCTGAAGCTGCTGAAGGACTTGGGTTGCATGAGCCAGGAGAGGTTCTTCAGGTACACCTGCGGCAGGAGGAGGAGCTCAGCGGCCAACGACACCGAGACCACCACCACATTCTCTCCTTAAAGCTGCTTCAGGATGGACAACAGCCTATTCACACCCGCAGACCACACAGTGGACTGTTGAACATTAGTGTCTGAAAATCAAAAATATATTTTACATGTACATATCAGAAGTAATCATATACATTTACATGCATTCGGGTGGTGATGGCGCAATGGATAAGACTATGCCTTTGGTGGGAGAGACCCGCGTTCAATCCCCCACTATGACCCACCCACCCGCCAATGTGGCCTTGAGCAAGACTCTTAACCCCTTGTTGCTCCAGAGGCATGCGACCTCTGACATATATAGCAATTGTAAGTCGCTTTGGATAAAAGCGTCAGCTAAAATGAAATTTTTTTACAGTTTTTGTCTCTTTGTTCATGTTTATTCTCTCCAGTACAGAAGGCTTTGTTTTTGTTTTTTGATTTTGCTGCAGTGTACAGTATTTCATGAAATTAACAGTGTTTTTTACAGTGCTGTCACTCAACCATTTGAAAAGCAAGAAATCATATACATTAAACTATCTGTACAAACCACATCTTTAAACCGTTTTATTTTCTTTTTTTTCTGTATTGTAAGACATTTGCAATTTTGTAAGATAATTAAATACGACTAAATTCACTGAAACAATAATTCAGTTGTCCTAATTACTACATTAGCATTAAGACAACAGAATGAATGTGGATTAAAAACATTTGAACACATTAAACTTAAAGTAGCAATAGAAAAACAAATAATACATACATTCATTTATACCTACAAATAAGGCTTATATGTAAAGAAAATAATTTTAGATTAAATCTTAAATGCATGAGCCATGGGAGCGCACACAAGGGTCTAAGGATAAAGGCTGGTACATACTGTACAGCTTGTAAAGCCCCTTGAGGCAAATTTGTGATCGGAGTATCTAAATAAAATTGACTTGACTGTAAAAGCAAAGTCAGTAAAGGTTACAAACAAAGGAAACCATGCTCCACAGAAAGTCGAAAGCTGCACTTAAATGCAGAGGAATTAACTCTCCCCAAATGAATCAGGATGTTTTGTGAGACTCTAGGAAGAGAAGCCTCTGTGCTGTACCGCTGACAGGAACCAGACAAGAACTTGTCAAAAATCGCAGTGCATTCCATTGCACGGTTTCCAGCCACCAAGCTCCCTGCAGCCAATTTTTTTCTGAAACTATTTGACATTGAAGGCAAGTTCAAGATTGCTCAACAGGAAAAAAGTAAATATCTTCACAATAATAAGAAAAACCAGTGATGTTTATAGCTTCCTTTGCCAAATCAAGAAGGTAATACATCTGGTGGACAATAGGACAAATGTGTCATGTGAACATTATCAGCTACAGTACACAGAAAAATGTGCACACATTTGTCAAGCAGAACAAGCTAAGGAGCTGTGTGGCAGAAGAAAGATCACTTGGCTTTCAGGTTAAGAGAGGCAGAAACACCCAGAGCAGACTGACATGTTTAAAACAATTTACCATGCCATCATCAGCACTAGTTCAGTGAAAACAGAGGACATGTAAAGAACATTAGTAGCATTAATAAACTCACCACCATACTGGCTTTGTGGAATCTTACAGCTCCAGAGAAATCAGACAAAAAGCTAATTGGGGTGACAGCTTGTAAAGCAACACAAAAGATTAAAGGAGTCAATCCCCTGCTTGTTTCAACGTTTCCCACATCATCCGGTATTCTCTCCAAACATTCTCCAAAGCTACTGTACATGCTTCAATATTTTATTTTATCATGCTCAAGTTGAAACCTTAGTAAGTGGAACACTCCAAATAACATCATATTCACCACCTCTTTTGATACACCCTTTTCAGTTGAAGCTCTATGTACTCATCTGAATTCACCGCTGAAAAAAACCACCCCTTCAGCCATGCTATGCTATGATGACATCATTAGTTGGAGCCACAGGGATTAGTGATCCTCACTGCTGATAGGTTGGTAGAAAAGGGATGGGATTTCGTTAATAAAAGCATCAAAGTAAAACAGTGCACAGTCTGAAAGTAAAACGACCTTACAAGAGTGGAACTCTCACCTGAAGACAATAAGGTAAGAAGACCTTTCGTTACTTTATCCTATAACAGGACATTGTAAAAATATACACCACTGGTCAATGTATCGTCAGCTTTGAACAAACATATTAACAGTACTTCATTTTTATTACTATTATTGCAGCAGGTCTTAGCAGGGACATAAAAAGCTATGCGGTTGTAAGATTCATTTATTTCACACACAGGAATGCAAGTTATAGTTCCCTTTTTATGCTAATCGTAAAAACAAAAAAATAAACTAAACTAAATAAAAATGATGTGAAAGTGAATGGCAAAGTCATAAAAATAAAAAATAAGCAAATTTTCATGATGGAAAGCAAATTCTGATGCTTCACACGTACGCTCCCATCTCAAGGAGAAGCTTTATGAAAATTAGTAGGTGCCTCTCAAAATTTAAAAATATGTTCTGAACTATGACCCCCCTCCAAAAAGCAGATTTTTTTCTGTAAACTACTTTCCAAAATACCTGAACATTTTGGCTGTTGTAGGAAAACACTAGTGTGGTCATGGCAACCACCAGCCACCTGGGTGACTCACTGGGCGCCGCTCCTTGTCTGAAACACAGCGAGGGAGACACAGTGTGAGCTGATCATCCCCCATAAAACCACACCCTTCCTGAACTGCTAGGCTATTCACGCTGATATCAGCATTTACTCAGCTTGTGTCATTGTTCACTTAGTGGTTTTATGCATGGATTGCAAAACAAGAGGGAAGCCTTGGGCTACACATGCTGACTTACACCGTCTGGGACACATACTGTAGATTAACTTTATTAACCAAAATAACAATGCTCAAGTTACTTATTGCTTAATAAGTTTTAGAGTGAACTAACCAAATATAAAACAGCACTGTCCAACTGCCATGAAAAAACTTTCTATTGAAGAACTATTCTTATTAAAATCTGACATCTGCAAACGCAAACACTCTGGAAATGGTAGCAAGCTGTTGCTATGATGGGTTTGTGATAGGTTTGTTTTGCAAAGAGGACAAAGGTGAGGCTGTCATTCTAACTGATCTCTCTCCATTGCACCTATGTCTGTGGTCTTCCCAGAAGACGGTGAGCTCTCCTAACATGATGCCTACAGCTAAAGGCATGTGCCACATGATACCCAATCACGTTCTGAGAGTGGGTCAAACTATCCGTCTGGACTCGAGGCAGGAGCCAGTCAATCAACATCCCAGTCTCACAGAGCCCAGTGACAAACATGATGACCCTGAGCTCGACATCTCCCTGGATAATCTCAACCAGCTCATCCTGGAACTGGACCCGACATTTGAACCCATTCAGGTCAACGGAAGTCCCACATGCATCAGCCCTCCTACAGGTACAATACGACTGTCAAGCCACTTTGCATGAGAGCTTTATTTTGTTTCTGCACTATTCACACATTCTCATTTCTATGTTATAGCTCAGTCATACTTAAACACATCAACAAAGTTCAACAAAGGGCAGCCTCCAACCTACAGATGTGTGACACAGAGCCCAGTAAAACCACCGTCACTCTTATAAAATAAATAGTACACATAGCCCGGGGCTTTGGAAATTTACCCTCCCTTTATTGAGATCGTTTTACTTTTTTTTTTTTAAATCATGGGGTAATTGCACCACTTCAGCTGTTCTGGGATCACTGCCAAGATGATTACCCCACCCTGCACATACTACAGATACAGAGAAGTAGGCGCAAATGAGGTACAGTGGCGTTTTCACTCAAAAAGTGTGCACAAAAGTCAGCAAAACACATAAATGAATTTCCTGTTGCTCGTCTTTTTTTTTTGAAAGAAGTTTGGTCATAGGTTCATGAAAAAGAGTGCGATGTGTGGTGGAGACACAACAGTGGTTTGAGGGAAAACAATCAACTGTGAAGAGAAATCAGAAAATAGAACGCTTAGGTTAAGCAGCGGTTAAAACAGTAAAAGGGAAAATTGAGGTGTTGATGAGAACTCATTCCCTGTTGTTGTGAAACAGTATTTTCCCTCATGCCAGCACTCACCACAGCACCTACCTACAGTCACAAACAGAGATTCTTCTATTTCTGTGTGAACATTAGTCATTTTTATATAACTTGTAGTTGCAAAAGGCCTTTGTCTGGCTCATGGCTTGACCACAGTGTTTTCCTAAGAGCATAAACTCACACAGTGCACATCAAAACAGTGAGGCAGAACAAGTTGGCACGCCTCTAGGTGATTTGGTATCATCGCAACGCCAGAAATGCAAAGTTCAAATCATTTTGTTTGGAGGGAATGGCCTGAACTTTGCAAGCAGGTACCTGCATAAGAAATGTGGGTTTTTATCAGATGAGTTTCAGAAATGATGTGTTTACGTACGGGGCCAAGCCTCTTTGCTAATAGAAAACCAAAGCATGAAGTCAGGGAAAGGCACTTTGACTCTTTTTCCACTAAGTGTCAGTTTCACATCGTTCTTGACATTTCATTCTCATTTTTCAGTGTGTTTTTTACACTTTCCCCTCCATCACCAGACAACTCCTGCTCAGATAAAGATGTCTCACGCTGTGTGTTGGTCCCTAGAGGATGTTCTCCCTGCTCCTCGCCCTCCGTGGTCCCATTAACGTCACCCAGTATACCCATCCCTACACACAGCAGCCTCAGCTGCAGTCCCCATGGCATGCTTGTCTTCTCCAGCTCCCCTACGTCCTCCCTGCCTCCGCTGCCATGTGGGAGTGCACCCCGACGAAATCACTCATCGAAGCATGACGTAGCCTTTTCCCAAGGATCCCTGCGCTTGTCACACTCCAACAGGAACAGTGCCACCTCGCTCCTCTCCATGTCAACATGCTCAGACACCAGCTACATCCTTGGCAGGTAAACATTGCAGTGGAACACAAGTTTTGTGGCAGTAACAACAAGATTTAACCACATTCCCACATTTACACCCCTCATTTCATTCTAAAGTTGCAAATTAAAGGATGCTAGAAATGTTTCTTCCTTTCATATTAATGTTTACTGACACAAACTCTACATAGAAAATATTGGGTATTGATTTGTTGCATTTGCAATAAATATAACCTCTACCTCTCTGCATAGCAACCTCTCCCTGGCCAGTGAAGATGCAGACTCTCCAGATTCCATCCTTACTTGCATGTCCGGCTCCTTCACTCATGAGTCCAGAACGAGGCCATCTGATAAGAGCCCAGACAAGCCCCCGCTTACAAAGGGAGGACATCTACAGAAGCTTCACAGCAAAGGAGTCCACAGCAGTCCGTCTTCGCTCTCTGGGTCTCTGACCGATATTCCTGTACTGCTAGTCAACGGTGCACCCCAGCCAGATTCGCACATTCAGTCTAATGGACCAGAAACTGACTTGATACACACCATCCCTTTTTCCATCTCAAGCCCAATTTCTCCTCGCAGTGAGTCGCACGTCTCATAGTAGTTTATGTTGTTGGCAGGAACGACATTTCAAACAATTTTTGATCCTACTGTTGTTTTTTGTTATGGTTGTTTAGGTTTCCAGGCCCATTTCAATGGCAGCCAGCCCTCAATGAAATTTGTCATGGACACTTCAAAGTTTTGGTTCCGTCCACATGTCAGCAGAGCAGAAGGTAAAAATCTCCAAACACCACTCCAAAGATAACTCACTGAGGACATAATGGCTTTAGTCAAGCTAAGAAGTTACTCCATCTTGCAGGATCTGATGTTTAAAAAAATGTTCTAATTCTTTTACAGATACAGATACAATAATAAACACACATTTGCAACTGTCTCTACTTGATTTCTGTGATTCATTCTAGCTGAAGCCCTGGTAAAGGACAAGGAAGCAGGAACATTTGTGGTGAGGGACAGCACCTCATACAGAGGCAGTTTCGGTCTGGCGATGAAGGTGGACCAAACATCCGCCAACTTCACTGCTAGCGCCTACCCAGGTAACCATTACTAATCAGTCCAGCAGCCTGACCTAATGCCCCCTTTTGAATCATGCACTATTATAAAACGCCACAGCAGTGGTAAGTCAGATACAGTAAAGAGAAGGCCTTGAATGCCATAACTACCACTATCACAGACAAACAACTTGAGCATAGTGTAGCACAGTGCTTCTGTCGTCATTTGTCTATACCAGAGACCTGAAAGGCACAGGGAATCTCTCACACAACTCCGCTGATGTCAGTGGGCATGTCTGATCACATCCAGCTATCTGTGGCGAGGCAGTAGACAGTGCTGTTATTTTTTCCACCCACAGTATACACTGTATAAACATACATGAAAACCAGCTGTTTATGGCACTATAAGCAATCAAAGAGGAAAGATTTGACTCACTCTCAAAACAATTATGAGGCTTGACGTCATTCGCAGATTTGTATTCGTTCAACTTTTGTAGGAATGCAGGATAAGAAAGACATGTGAATTCTGTGTCGAGCACCGAGAGCACGTCAACAATATTCCTCTACTGAATTATCCCTCAACCAAGGATAATTAGAGAACAGAATCATCCTTGGTGGAGAGATGTCGCTACAATATTTTCTTTTTCTGACTTCCATGGAACAATTTGCAAAGTGCTATATAAGTGCTATACAAATAAAGTTATTATTATTAATATATAGATATAGTGAAACAAAATGATTAAAGATTTGTAAGCAACATTGGAAGAAGATGTGAAATAAGCTTGGGAATATTACTTCAAATTAAATATAATTTACAGTTTATAATTTACAAACTGCTACCTTATCCCTGGCCTGTGGCATGGTCAGATAGAAAGGCCTTCTTGAGAGCAGTGTTTATATGTTTTTAATGATCTTGGTGTGCCTACTCAGTGCCTCGAGTACCACAACTAACAGTCAGCTATTTAAAAAATGTTTTTAAAGAATCCTTACATGTTGGTTGTCTGGAGGTGATATGTACATTAACATTGTGTGTTAACTCCACTGACTACATGCAAATCTTGTTTTTCCTGACATTTGTCTTTTCATCAAAACAGGAGAGAGTAGTTCAGATCTTGTTAGACACTTCCTCATTGAATCATCAGCTAAGGGCGTACGCATCAAAGGTTCTTCTCAGGAACCATACTTCGGTAAGTCAAAGTCAACCGCAACATTATATTGTTTTACATATCAATTTCCTTCTAAACCCAAAATCCACTCGCCTACTCTATATGAATGCACATCCTTGTCAGGCAGATGAAGCCACACCAGAACTGCGTCAGCCAAGTCTGGCCTCTTGGGATGTGGGTGGATCTCGTTCTTATTCAATGGTTTGAGATCATGGGGTGTGTTCTCACACCCACAAAGCCTTTATCAAGGTGTAATGTGAGCTTTCTCTTTCTTATCAGAGCCTGTGACATGCAGTGATATATCTGCTTCTACGGAATTCTACTTGTGTTGTAACTGTGGTGGCTTTGAACATGGCAAAAAAAAGGGGCAATAAACCAGATTTACTCAGTCCATAATTTAAATTTCACCTAAAGTCTTCATATCATGACAATATCCAGACTTTTTCAAACTGCAACTGATCCTGGAATGGGCCAATGCATCAAGATACATTTAAAATGCAAAATTACCACATTCACACTAGAAAATAACTTACAGTAACTAACACTAACACTATACTGCCCTAATACCATATACCTCACCTCAATGACACTATACATTAAATATTTAAAGTTTTATCTGAGCTTTTGTGGTCCCATATAAGACAAAGAATTTCTCATTCATTCTTAAGCTTCACCAAAGCTATAATTTTGTGTTATCATTGCAGGTAGTCTCTCTGCCCTGGTCTACCAGCACACAATTTCTGCTTATGCTTTACCCTGCAGATTACTGCTCCACTCCCAAGGTAGGCCTTTAAAAACACTGGTGTATGTGTGTGTGTGTGAGTGTGAGTGAGAGAGAGAGAGAGAGAGAGAGAGAGAGAAAAGGAAGAAAAAATAAAACCTATTTGCCTACACAGATCTGGGTGCAACAGAAGGGAGGGCAAACGACAAACCAGCATCAGTGGACAAGAGTACAACAGGTGGGACAATACAGTAATAAATATTTATGCGTTTTTACATCAGCATGTTATACATTTGCTAGCACTTATCTTCAAGTAATGCTTACAATACAAACTGCAACTTCTGGTAAAAAACACAAGGAACAGCAGCAACAATTGCTGATGTCAGCAGGCTAAGGAACAACATAAAATGTAATAAGACATTACTAAGTGACACAAGTGGTTTTAAACTAGATTCAATTGACCTATAAATAAGATATGCTCTTACATTTTCTTCGTCTGTACTGTGGGAATGAAGGAAATGCTAACAGTAGCTTTTCCCAAACAGCTTGCTAACTAAGATTAAAAAACGCTAGCTAGCTAATTAGTTCACAGAGGAACCCCCCCCCCCCCCACACACACACACACAAATGACTTTTAGATTTCACCTATCTGAGGAAATACATTTGTCTATTTTTTATATATATTCTGGAAAAATTGTATTGTAACTGAATTGAGTCAATTTGGGCCAAATCATATTTGAAATTATTTGTATGTAAAATATGACTATAAAATATGTCTATTTTGCCTAGGAGATTGAAAAAAAAGGGATTAATCCACTAATAATCAAGGAGGGAGTTGGAGGGTGCTTCACTTTACGTGTTACTGCCTACATGTTTAATTCCACCTGATTGTGCATTCAACCTCTATTTCTAATCACAATGCTTGTCTTTTCCATAGCTTGCAATTTCGTCTACCTGAATGCTGTCTCCATTGAGATGCTGACGGGCCCTTGTGCAGTGCAGAAGGCGGTGTCCTCCACACTTGAGAAGGCCCCGGGTTCCTTCACACCAGCCATAGTCAACCTGAAGGTGTCTTTGAAGGGCGTTACATTGACAGATATCAACAGGAAGTAAGAAAAGACACATCCTGTCAACTTGCAGAGATTTTACTCAGTGTTGCACACAACAAACTCATGGTGGTTTGTGTGCAACATTTTATTGATCATTTCTAACAGCCATAATCATTTCTTCACAGGCTTTTCTTCAGGCGCCATTACCCTGCTCACCTGCTTAGCTACAGTGGTGAAGATCCAGATAATCGACTGTGAGTAGGCGCCAACATGTTACATGGTTACATTCTGTTCCATGTTGGAAAGCGTATATAACAAGCTGATAAATCACCTCATTAGTATACCTTTCAACACATAAAAATACAACCACATGATTGAATGTGTCATGTAGTTCCATTTTGTTGTCTCAGTAATCCTTGACAGCGAGCCAGAACGCACAATACCAGGGTGCTGGAATGGATTACTGAATTCATTAATGTTATTAATTATTCCTACTTTTCCTGCTGTGATGTCAAAATATCAGCAGTGAAAATAAATTCAGTCATTTTCCTAATGAACATTTATCTTAGCAGAATGCATGAGAGTAAACCACATCTTTTAATCTTAAACTTTGTCTTTTATACTCTTACAGCTGGGTGAAAGGTTCCAGTTTTGGTGCAAGGTAATTTTTCATTGCATACAATGTCAAAATGATCCACAGTAAACCCTCCCAGGGTTCAAACTGACCTGCAATACAGATCTTGTATACCAATCGAATCTAATCAAATCTATTGTTTCTTTGTCCCAACAGAATGTTTGGCTTTGTGGCAAAAGGTATAGAGGCTGGCATGGAGAATGTATGCCACATCTTTGCAGAATATGACCCCCTGCAGCCTTGCAACAAAGTCATCGAGCTTATTCAGGCCGCCATAGCCAAGCCTTAGGTCTTAAGGCACTACCTACCTGCCTGTCTTATGCTGTACTTTTCTTAAGTAACCTGTCCAATACCTTGGTCATCGTTAAGTGTCACTACTGCTGTTGTTACACTGGACAAGTTACTGTATCTGCTGGAGTGCAATAGCAACAAAATCTGAACTAGTGATTGATTAGGACTATCCAGAGTCGTAGCACGGTCAGATGATAAAAGTCATACTGAAAAGACAGGTGTAATGGCATATATGAAGATAGACAAGACTCAACAGCTGTCACGCAGGAATATACCAGCAACATAGGATTGTAATTAAATGACATGCTACTACTGTTAAAGGATCCAAGGAGTTTGTAGATTGTATGTTAAAACAAACTTAACAATACAGATGTAAAACTTAATATATGAAGCACCCAAATATAATTTCAGTGTAAAATATTATTGTATTAAAGTGTAAAAGAAACCAACACTTTAGGACATGCTACATTAGTTGATGTTTCTTATTTCGTAGTGTAGAATGATCCCCATGTCATTTGGGGTGAAAATCTGCACCAGCTGATGCTATAAAATATAGCGATGAGAGATTTTGAAGTTTTCTTAACAGGCTTGAAGAAAAACAACCACAACATACTGGCGTGTCCTTTCATTTCAAACAGAAACAGATAGCCTAGATATATAGTTCAGAATGTATTTATTAAACTGCACTGTAAACTACTTGTTTTCTATTCATGATTTTTTTCAAATTGTTGTGATAAAAAATAAGCATGTTGAACTTGTGCATTGGTATGCTTGGTGTTAATGTCTGAGAGACACTGTGTATGATAAACAGAGCTTTATCTCTTCCTTTAACTTACCATCAAAGCATTCTGTAGACATTAGGGAAGACATTGTGGTTTATAGCTTTGTGTCTTCTAGTAAATCAAAATAAGATTATGATTGTAAACATGACAAAAAAAACGCAACTGTCTGCACATATTCCTTTTTTATTTTAAATGATAAATTGTTAGATAAAAGCAAAAAGCTTCATTATGAAGTTACAGAGCTCCCAAAATGAAGAATGTGCTTCATGAAGCAAAGCAAAGTCAAGCGCAGGACTGCATAGGTAATATCTTTAAATATTTTCAACATATTTGGAGGCACCTTAATGCACAACGCAATGCACGGTGGCCCTTTTGTTGTTTTTAATATCTTTGGTGCCAACTCAAAACTTAGCATAAAAACTCTTAATCTAAGGTGTAACAGACGTGCTACACATCCAGAGCGGAGCATAGAAGATACACTGCTGTGTTAACTATTTACAAATACTGCCCTCCTCTGGTTAAGACAGGGAATCTAAATTCTCTGAGACACAAGGTGAGTATTACAAGCCCCACTGCTGTTAAGATCACAGTGAGCAGTTTTTTTCCTTCCAGATAATGCATTTTAAAATATAGCTACATTATCAGTTTGAATTGCAAGATTTTTCTTTCTCCACATAGAGAATGAACTGCAATGACTAAAGACTAGAAGTACACACATCCTGGATACCTCTCAGTGCTGATGTGTATCTAAGTGCTGTATATGTCTGCAGTGCAAACACTTAGGGACTTTACAGAAATTATTGGGGTGAGAAGGGGAGCTGAAAGTAATCACCCGCTCCAGCGTTATTGTTTTAATAATTTTCATATTTCATATATATATATATGCTCTCTAGTCCATGACTAGAGAGCAAAAAAGATGTGGAAAGTAAGAGCAACAGTGGTTCCAGTGGTAATCAGAGCACTGGGGGCCGTGACCCCTAAACTGGGAGAGTGGCTACAGCAGATTCCAGGTAAAACATCAGAGGTCTCTGTCCAGAAGAGTGCAGTCCTAGGAACAGCTAGATACTGCGCAGAACCCTCAAACTCCCAGGCCTCCGGTAGAGGAGCCGAGCTTCAGGATGACACATGAGAGGGGCTATTTTTATATATATATATATATATATATATATATATTTTTTTTTACACATTTTATTTACTTAATGTTCAGCCTTCTGTGTAGATGCAGACTAAAGTGAAGTTGGGAGCTGCTATTAGAAAGTGACAAATGAAGTTTAACACCCCCCCCCCAATCCTCCCCCTATTTAGAAAGCCCCCTCCCCCAATAATTTTTATATAGTCTCTTAAAGAAAAGCAAACATAAAAATCCACCTATAGATAGTTCACAGCAGCTCATAGTGATCTGTCCACACCTCCATTTATCTCCATGTGCACTCATCCTCCTGCACCAGGTGTTAATTAGACTTCAATGCTGTAGTTAAGCCGCCATATGCTTGATATAATCTCTTTTGTGACAACATACTGACAGTATTGAGAGACACTTTTTCGTCCAGAATAATGACACAGTAAGGTGTTTTCATTGTTATCCACTGAAAGTAGGTCCGATATATTTGATGTGGTTTTCTGGCACAATGAAAATGGTGCTAATTCTGCCAGAGTCAGGATAGGATGACAGAAGTTTCAGTTTCATTCATCAGTTGTGACGTGAAGATCAATGAATGCTGTAATTTAAAATTCATATTAAGCTTGATGGTAATGGATGGTAATATCCCAAATGTCAATGACACAGACGTTATCTCTGTAACTTCAACATCACCAGTGTTACCACAAACATACTAGTGACTGAGTTACTGCGTGATAGTTGGGATGCTGCGAGATCTCTTCATGATGAGACGCACCTCCACGTCAGGGAGGCTGTCCTGTTTGGTCTGGGCGCACCCTTCGTCTGCTGCAGCCATGTGCAGGTCGAAGCGCAGTGACACAGACTTCTTACGTAGCTTGGGATTCCCTCTGAAGAAGGAGCCCTCCCACTGCTTAATCACCTTGTCAATCTTCTCTGTCCTGTTAGGAAAGAGGTTAGAAGTCTCGGCAACAAAAATTCATTTTTGTCATAGGACAGTATGTATTATCAGATTATTGGGCCAATGCTTTGACACTAAGAAAACATTTTTAATAAGGTTGTTTGTTTTAGGTTTCTATTCTGTTTGTGTATCAAACATGTTTTCTTTTGTTCAGGAACATTTATAATGTATGCAATAATGATTTGTATTTCCTTTGAATTGTTGAAGATATTTATTTAACTATGATGATTGAATATTTTATATGCCTCGCTTGATTTGGATAATGTTTAACATGTTTATTAGAATAATGTAAGATGCATTTTTCTCGCTTGTCCCTTTTACTCTCAGGCTGCGGCCTTCACATCTTTGTAGGAAGACAGACTTCAGACTTCACAAGAACACACACACACACACACACACACACACACACACACACACACACACACACCTCACATTGTGCACAGAGGAAGAGCGAGACATATTAACCAATGTAATACGGAGTTAAGGACGTCTGCTCCCGGGACCAGCACGGATACACACGTATTTGTTGTATTTGTTTATTTGAAATTACCACTAAATTTGAGTTAATCTGAACTTTACTGGAATTTGTGTCTCATTGAAAAGAATATCAATTATATTGAAAAGACAACAGTTCATCTAAGTCTAAGTTACAGTTACATCCAAGAGAAAGAAGTGTGAGAATGAGGGCCCGTTAGGCCACCGGCCCGGGGCCCGTTAGGCCTCTGGCCTGGTCAACTGCTGGATGTCTATTTATTTAGGTATAGTATTATTGTGTATCATATAATCCCATATAGAATGGGCCATTTCACTGGTTAAAATCAATGGTAAAAATAATTTATTCATTTACGTATGCACCAAAGTAACACCAGAGGGCAGCAAGAGAGAACGTTTTAATTGGCTTAGAAATGACCTGGTCTGAGAGCTACAAAACCGAATATGCGCCTGTTTTGTGATAAAATACAACCAGTGTGGCAGTGAACACAGCCACTGAAGATCAGGACCTGGGATATTTGCCTTATCAAGCAAACTAAATTCAAAATGATGCATGAAGTCTCTGTCTGACAAATAGAAGTGCTGCCTCTGCAGAAGATGCAAGCACTGTATATGCAAGTGTGTCACTACATAAACCGACTAACAGATGATCATGGCTGGAAAAAGTGAACGCTTGAGCATCTGTACCATATATTTTCTTTAGGAGGTGAGTTGCAATAAATGTACCAAAACACATGTGAGATTAGGCTTTGGGTAAATGAATGTAGGAGATGTTGGTTACTTTAGGACTAATAATTCTTTTGGCTACCTGGTTTGGCCTGTTACAAACACAACACTGACAGACAGTAGTTTCACCTTAAAAAGTGGATGTGGTGAGTTTGTTAGCAAACAGCTCCCTATTTACAAAACCAGCAGACACAAAGTCAGCATACATCAGCTAACCTGACCATCGGGAGCAATTAACCACTAACCTGCTAAAAGCATTTACTGTGGGTTAAGAAACATCAGTGACTAACGGCTTCAAAAAACATTAAGTAAAGAATCAATCAAGTGACAGAGTCAGTTAAACTATCTGTGATGACAGCTAAAAGACAAAGTAAATATTCTGTCAGGAGGACTAGATTTGTGTGTCTGTAGATATGATGCGTGCGTATGTATGTGTCTGGTAACACCTGAAGCATGAACAAAGAATTCCACCCATGTCCCGTCCAACAATAACAGGTGCCACACCCTGGAGACTCTCCACCAGGCGGGTTTCTCCACATCAAACACAAGCCATTAAAGGAGGAATATTCCCATGCAGCGCTATGATGAGTTACTCATGGGAACCTGTGCAGCCAACTAAACGTTTTATGCATCTGAACTTGCTTGACGTGTAAATGTAATTCCTTTGAATTTGTGCATCTGTTCTGCCGGACCAGATGCCGCCGGGGCGGGGAGGACGTGGATGATTGTGTCATTTTAAAAAATCATGAGTAATTAAAAACCTTACTGAGTTAAAGCCTGAGAGGTGTAAAAGCTTTAGGTGATTAAGCAAGCAAGAAACTATGTTTTTTTTGCAGTCATAAAGGCATTTATCTGGGTAATGTAGAACAGTATGCTTTGAAGTGATGCTGTTAATGCTTGCAACTAGAAAATGCCTACATTTCAGACTGAACCAAACGTGCTGACTACAGGTCAATGGGGGGCAAAAAGATCAATACTTACTCAATGGTGCCGTGACCCTCTGCACTCTCTCGCACCACATTGCCCTGAAGAATCTCTTGAGTCTTCACAGTGGAGATTGGCAAGTCTTTATCTTGCTCTGGCTCTGTGAGAAGACATTGATGACAAATCATAATAAGATGTGTGCGTCTCAGAGATGGGGACTCGACTTAAGTCACACACACAGTAACTTCAGACTCGACTTGAAACTCGTCCTCAAAAGACTTCAGACTCGACTCGGGCTAGAGGTGCGGGACTCGTGAACAATGTTTATTTTTAGGAAACGTCTGATGAACGTGCTGTTATTCCCCTCCCTCTGCTACCTATAACCTGCCTACGCAACACGTAGTATCAGCTGCACGCGGACTGCATGAGAGAGGACAACAAACACCGGCAGCTGCTGAGCCGTTCATCATAAACTTTGGCTTTAAAACTTCAAAAAATGAATGAATGAGCGTTTGTTTACTTGCCAAACTTGTGGTGGTTGATTAGTGTAATGATTTACGTCTAGCTGCCATCACGTTACTTATTAACGATGGCTGCAAACAGGTGACAGGTTTATTGTTGATCATGTAACGTTACAGTTTTATTTAGTTATAACCTTACACTGGGTTTGAGAGTCTGGGGGATGTGTAGACTTACAGTAGTTTATATGCTATGATTGTTGTCACAGTGCACATTACATGGTTGTGCTCTGTAAGTGAAAAACAGGTGACAGGTTTATTGTTGATTATGCAACGTTACAGTTTTATTTAGTTAATGTTACACTCGGTTTGAGAGTCTGGGTGATACAACATTCATTGTAAGTGACAAGTGTAAGTGACCACAAGTGACTTGAGACTTGACTTGGGCTCTAGCTCAGTGGCTTGAGACTTGACTGGGACTCTAGCTCAGTGACTTGAGACTTGACTTGGGCTCTAGCTCAGTGACTTGAGACTTGACTTGGGCTCTAGCTCAGTGACTTGAGACTTGACTTGGACTCTAGCTCAGTGACTTGAGACTTGACTTGGGCTCTAGCTCAGTGACTTGAGACTTGACTTGGGCTCTAGCTCAGTGACTTGAGACTTGACTTGGGCTCTAGCTCAGTGACTTGAGGCTTGACTTGGACTCTAGCTCAGTGACTTGAGGCTTGACTTGGACTCTAGCTCAGTGACTTGAGACATGACTGGGACTCTAGCTCAGTGGCTTGAGACTTGACTTGGGCTCTAGCTCAGTGACTTGAGACATGACTGGGACTCTAGCTCAGTGCTTGAGACTTGACTTGGGCTCTAGCTCAGTGACTTGAGACATGACTGGGACTCTAGCTCAGTGACTTGAGACTTGACTTGGGCTCTAGCTCAGTGGCTTGAGACTTGACTGGGACTCTAGCTCAGTGACTTGAGACTTGACTTGGGCTCTAGCTCAGTGGCTTGAGACTTGACTGGGACTCTAGCTCAGTGGCTTGAGACTTGACTTGGACTCTAGCTTGTGACTTGTGAGCGTCTTACCTGTGAGTATCACAAGGCTTTGCTGTCTATGCAGTATGCTTTTCTTTAGCCCATTGTCTTCTGGGAGGAGTGAAGGTATTTCAGGAAGGGGCTCAGACTTGGGTTCATCTGGAGTAACAGCAGGATCACTGAAGCCATTCTCTAGCCCATTCTCCTTTGGTTCGTCCAAGGAAGACCTCCAGGGCCGCAGACCCACTGGTTGCCCATTACGACCCATGTACCTGCAGGCAGAAAGGCAGCGTGCAGAGTAGTAACAACCAAAAGGCCTTCTTGTGTCTTGGTTGAAGTGGCAATTGGACATTTTGGAAAAACAATGACACTCTCATGTCTGTATGGCAAATGTGAATCTACAACTGTGAGACATTTAGCTTCATATGATGACAGGAAGCCAAACAGCTGGTCTCTTTCTAAACTAAAAAATGGGCTTTCCAGCACCTCTAAAGCTCACTAATGGACACATTATATCTTGTTTGTTTTAATGTATAGAGAAACCAAAGTGTAAGATTGACAATTTGTGATACCACAACAAGCTGTTTCTCTACTTTACACCATGCTGCAGCTTCATATTTAATGGACAGATAAGTGAGTAAATGTACAGTTTATTTCAAAATGTCTAATTATTCCTTTAAAATGACGTATGGTAACTTATACAGCATCAGAAGATTCCAACCAACCTCTAGCTAACTAATCACCAAGGGCGCAGGTTCTTGAGCTGCAGCATGCCACATCTGAGCTCTTGTTGCCCAAACCCAAACAGCCCTTCAGTCCATCTTTGCTGAGCCTGTATAGCAGGATGGGACTGTCTGCCAACATCGCCCTGAGGTAGTCTGTCAGAGAAGTTCCAGCCTCCATTCCTGTCTCCACTGTTACCATAATCCTCTGACAATAGCACTATAATTTCCCATGCTGTCTACCTTGCTGTATTTATCGGCACGCTCCTTTACAGCAGTGAAGCTTGGACTACCCACATCCACTGCATAGCATCAGCGAATCGGCTGTAGGTCGGGGGTCCAGAGAGGACGGCGGCTGCTCTGGATCCGGACCGCGGTCTGCCTATTAGTGACCTCTGCACTAGATTAATACAGACACATTTGTGTGTCATAGTTAAGTAAAACAATATTCATGGTCTTCTTGAAATACTTACGCCATTTCCTGAAAGAATGTACTTTGCTACTTCAAGAGCCAACTGGGTGTTCAAGTGACAAGGACTAAATTTGAAAAAGGAAACAGCAACCCTAGCTGAACACAGGCTGTCATAATTAGTGGCCATTCGAGGAACTGGAGTTTTTGGCACTACAGGGTGGGCCTAATTTTTTAGCCTCAGAGATGGCTGCTTATGGCCGACATCCTGGGGGATTATGAACTTTTTTTTAAACTTCTGCACAGACATTCATGGTCCGTAGAAGGTGAATCTCAATGGCTTTGTTAATCCCTTACTTTTCCTCCAGCACCACCATGAGATTGACAGTTGTGGTTTTTAGTGAAACCTCTCAACAACTATTGGACGGGTTGCCACAGAATTTGGTTCAGACATAGCATGTGAATATTTAGCATTTAGCTCAAAGCACCACTGTGCCTAAGGTCTGCACTTTTATCATTAGCACAAATGTGAGTCCTCATATGGTGCAAAAGACAGTTTCAACCACAAATACAGAGGAACTATCTTTGCACAGATTAAACAATAATTGTTAAAACATGATATAAAAGTATTGTGCACTTACCTTTCAGTATTATCTTTTGTGCCTTTTATTTGTTTAAATTGCAGACATAACCATCTCAGAAACCTTTGGGGTTTTATGTGTTCAGGTGCTTCAGTCGTTTTCACTGTATGAGGACGTTCTCATCTCTTTTTTTGTCCCACAGGCTTTTGAGCCTCAGCTTGCTTACCCACTCAGTCGCCACCCTTCTCAAATATTAACAAACAAATGGATATTTCGCATGACACATCCTGTCTCTCCTTGCAGCAATGACATCAGTCAAAGGCAATCTAAATAAAAGAGGAAAACCACTTCAAGGCAGCACGCCAATCTGTCTGTAACCTCTACAAGAGTCATAAAACCAAATTATCTTACTCAAACTATATTATAACAATCAGCAAATGTGTTACATTGCAAAGGAGCTCGATGTGAGATGTCTATCCATGGTCCAAAAGAAAATTAAAGGCTATTCCAAAAGAACTGAATATTCCCTTGTAAAACAGCTTGAAATTCCAGTTGTGACATGACTATGTTACTTGGCCATATTCTATAGCCATACAGTGTATGTCTCAACCTGCCATTACTTCCATACAGAGTTTCCACAGAGAGATTCTACATAATCCTTGACAGACTAGTAGGCTTTAACCAGACTGAACACAGGAAATTATCAGTTTGACAGCTATATAATGGAAAATGATTAAGAAATAGTTTTGTTCACTTTGTCTGTAAGAGCTGAGGAAGAACTGTCTGTCTGGTCATGTCAGTGAATGAGTATGTGTTTGAAGTCTGCTTTTTAGATGCATGCTACATAAAAATTTACATTTCTGTCCTATTTGTTTTTTGTTCAACACTGTTCTGTTTCACTGCGTTTGTAGAAGAAGCTGCTCCAGTGTTGTGGGAAAACCTATTAATTAAAATGTAACAAGTTCCTTCCTGGCAGACACTGAAACCACAAAATTCCAACTGAACGAATACTTCCTAGTTCCTCTAATGTTTCCATTCATTCATTTCCTGCCCTCACCTGCCCTCTTCACGCTCCAGCAGACGTCGGTAAGTGGTGATCTCTCGCTCTAGCCTCATCTTGGTGTTGAGGAGCTGGCTGTGACGCTGGCGCTGGGTGGCCAACCCGCTCCTTACCTGCTCCAGCTCATTCTCCAGCCCTGCGATCACCTGGGAAAGGTCCTGCAGCTGGCTGGAGTACAGCCTCTGGGTGTTCTGAAGAGAGCTCTCCAGGCCTTTCTCCTGAAAAGAAAGAGGCATGGAGCTTTTAGGAAAATGACTGGACACTTACCTTTAACTTTCTTTAACAACTCCACATTGAATTTAAAGAACCATGTAGAAACTAATAGTGTTATATTTGTGGATAGCGAATAGTGCCAGTTGTGTTTGTTAGCTAGGTCGGGTTAAGCCCTAGGCCTTGCTGCTGGGAACTGAACACAGGTCTCTGTAGTGTTGAGCCACAAGGACACTGCAATAGTTTTAGGTGTACAAGCTCATGTTGGTGGGTGTGAAATGCTAAAATATATCCATTAAACACATTTAATATGCAATATTATCTCTGCCAGGCTAAAGTCTGGAGGGGTTTTTGAAAAACCTCTTAAATTGATCATACAGCTTAGACTTGTCATTTCAGCAATATTTCCCATTTTACAATATGCGTAAAAACACAGCAAAAGGCATTCCTGGCAATCGTCTTGACTAGGCCTGTCCCCGACTAAGGATTTACATAGTCGAATCAGAATCGCCACGTCCTGCCTATAGTCGACTGATAGTTGAATCATGTGTGTTTTTGATGTGTGTTATATGTTGTGTGTTAGTGGTAAGTTGTATAGGGGTGACAGTCTTCCACCTGCACACCAGGGGGCATAGGCAGGGCATCACAGATGGTAACAGAGGCTATATGAGGAAGTCACAGGTAAGTAGCGAGAGGGAATTACAATCTGGGGAAGCCACAGTTTTTCAACCGTGCTTGCGTGCATGTGTGTATGTTCGTGATGGATTTTGTCATGTCCTACCGTTAGCATCGTGTTTACTGTTTTTTGCATATGTACGAGCTCAACTTACATCCGTAATGCAAGCAGCAGTGTTTTGTAAGTAATTTTATTCTGCATAAAATAAAGTGTTAACCGCATGCCATGCCAGACGTGAGTTTTTCCACCATTATGCGTTGGAGACGACTTCAAATTTCCTCAAGTGGCTTTTTTTGTGGCATGATCGCAACTACATACCGGTTTTGCGTGCATGCCGTGCTGCCGACAGCTTCATGCACGTCGTGGTTCCTCGTGGGTCTATTTCAAGTAGCCGGCTTTTTAAAAACAATAAAATATTCTTTGGGTGGTTCATCAACGGTGATAAATTATCAGAAAGTCCCGCGAGGTGCGGACAACTCGGCACAACACCAGTGAAGCTGGGGCTTCGTCTCTTCCGCAAGTGTTCCTCCACTGCCCCTACACACGCACGCTTCGCCTACACATGCCCACTGACGACCAAGGCTTAGGGTTACAATTTTGGATTTACTTTAAAATCATTTATTGAAAGTTTTATTCTTTTTACATGTTTATTTACAGCATTAAACGTTGAAATTTATGTTGTAATAGGCTGTATATTAACCTACTGGGAGAAAACTGGTGGTTCTATGTAAAATCAGATGTTGAGCACCCCCATATCGCCAAAATGGCATGATCCTCGTTTCACTGCGAAGCTTCGACTGTGAGACTGACAGTCGAATCTTCGACTATTCGGGGTCAGCCCTAGTCTTGACTAAAAACAAGGCTTACCTAGTCTGTTGCAGGCCACATTTTGGCCTTTTTAGTGGCTCAAAAACTGATATCCATAGAAAAGTTTGGTCTCATCTTGAACTGGAGATTCTGCCTGTTAATTCCATATCTGATATTGTTATGACCCACTAAAGTTAGGCATGATACTAGAAAATTCAATCCCAGTTTTTGTTATCTTGACTGCTATCTTGAATGGTAATGGCAAATGGACTCTATGCCTTTCTAGTCTTCCGACCACTCAAAGTGCTTTCCACACATGTCAGATTCACCCATTCACAAACACATGATGATGAAACACTGATGGCAGTAGCCGCCCTGCTAGGTGCCAACTACTCAACTCATCAAACACACACTCTCAGTATTCGGGGTTCAGTATCTTGTCTACAACATGCGTCCTTCTGATTAGTGGACAACCACAGTCAACATCAACTCTTCTTTGTTTGGGAGGGGTTTTATTTTGTGTGCATTACAACAACATGTTCTAAATAAATAACAAAATGTTTAAATTCAGAAGTTTGAACTTTTCTTTAAGTTTATAGAGTTAGATGAAGCTAGGACACTTGGTTAAAATGTAAATGTAAATTTGTATTGCGCCTTTCCAGTCTTTTCGACCACCCAAAGCGCTACATTGCATTCACCAATCACACAAACAGAAACTAACATTCATATGTGTTACACAAGTGGAACCACCGATCTTTCACGGGCAACCCGCTCTACCTCGTGAGCCGCAGCCGCCCAATATCAACTATCACACTATTCTATGCATCTTAAAGAAAACTATACTGCAAAGACACTTTATTAAAAATGATGCATATACATATGTATGTAGAATATATAAACATACGTTAGCGGCCTGAATCTAGGAATGGTAATGCTGGTCAGTCGGTCCACCACTTCCATCCCGACTGAAATATTTCAAAAATGTAACTTTGATGAAATAACTTTGGTGACATTTCATCTACTGTCATCACAAGTCAAAAGTTTTATTTGTCCAATACGTTTGTTTATTTGGTGTGTCACCAAATAGGTGCAAATGAGATTCCCATCAGCCTCAGCTGTACTTTTGTGTTTAGTGCTAATTAGCAAAAGGTGGCATGCTAACACACTAAACTAAAATGGCGAACATGGTAAATGGTAACATGGTAAAAGGCTGTGTAAACCATGGATGTAATATCCGTGATGTCACCCGTAAGTTTCTGAAGCGTCTGTAGCTGTTGTGAATCCGGGTGGCACTGGCCATCGCCATCTTGTCAGTGCTTAGCTCTGGCTACTCCAATAAATGGGCAAGAAGTGGAGCTGAAGAGGACTGAATAAAGCCTGGTTGCTGAACCTGAGAAGGCACCAACTGGTAAAAGCAGCCTTGTCCTTAATAATTCAACGCTTTAATATAATTTAAATGAGTGAATTATATAAAAATTCACCCCTACACGGTTGTCATTAAGGGGGAAATAAGCTATAGAGTTCAAAACTGTTTTTGTACCAAGCTGTAATTGTGTTTATATCTGCTGTATAGCTGGGCATTTTATGGGTATTGACTCGTTTTGAAGGCAGCCTCAAGTGGCCATTCAAGGAACTGCATTTTTTTGCACTCCTGGGTTGGCTTCATTTTTCAGCCTTGGAGGTTGCCGCTTCAGTAAACATTATACCTGTTAAACATTTTAGCATACTTGTATTAGCCTCAAGCTCAAAGCACTGCCGTGCCTAAATTCAACCTCACAGATCCTGTTATTGTATAAATCCATTTATATGCAGTTGTTACATTGTTAGTTTTAACAGATAATGGTTTTGCATGTTTTAACCAATTACTAATTGCATATACATTATTACAGACTATTCTCCAGAACCTGCTTGCAACTGCCCTCCCACTACATGATGATAACCTGGCAGTAAATAAATAAAACCAACTGAATATTTGCTTTTCTAGATGTCCTTGTTCCAAATAATATTCATACGGTAGTAAATAGTAAATCAAGAAATCACTAGAAATTAAGGGGTGGTTGGAAGGTAAAATCATTTGGAAAGCTTTGGAAAATGATTGACAGGTATGTAAAATACATGCGATTTGTAGCTATTGGGCTGAAACATCTAAACCACACCACCAATTTCCCGTCCTATCCGTATACAGTGTGTGTTCTGCTATATTCTATGCTACTAATATGTGTATATTCTTTGTTCTTAAATTGTCATTATCATTATCATACCACTTCTACAAAGACAACACAATCTGCTACTTGCCACGGAAGAAGCGTTATCAGTGTTAAAGTTAAGGAGTTGGCCGTCCTGCTATGTGATAATGTTTGTTTTCTTACCAAGGCGTGTAGGGTCTCAATCTCCACCTGCAGGGAGTGCCACTGCTTCCTGGCCTCAGCTAGCTCAGCCCGGGCCTCCCTCAGGGCAGCGCCGCCGAGGCTCACCTGCGCCCATGCTGCCTCCTCCTGGGTGAGGTGACATGGATCAGACATTAAAAGAGGTACAAGAACTCTAAAACACCCTGCCACCATCTCAAATACACACCCAACCATACACACTCACTTATTTTAACTTCTACTAGCATGCTAGCATCACCACTTAACACAACAAACACAGATTTTCAACCTCGTGGGACAATATGGAGGAACTGTTTTTCTACATATCACACATAAACATAAATGTGGACTGAACGTGTTACGGTGCAGTAGCTGATGGTACGTGGATTCTTGGAATAAAAAATCTGTAGGCCTACTAGATAAACAAAACACACCTTGTGGTAACAGTTCTTTCCCACTGGCACACAGTCAGATAGTCAAGCAGACAACCAGGCCTGCGTGTGCACACAGCTGTACAAGCTGTGTTGACACATCGTACAGCTGTTAGGCGTTTCACACCCTCCGTCCTCACCCGCCTTAAAATGCAGTGAAGCGGTGAAGCTGTCTCAGCAATGTTACTGTATGGCAATATTTTGACAGTAAAAACAAAAGAAGATTACTGAAGTTATGTAAGTGATCCTCTCTTTAATTTATTACTCCAGTGATTCTCATTTTCTGTTTCAATGCAGTCTATTTTAATTAATAGGCAAATTTTGCAACAAGCAAATTTAGATTTTCCTACATCAGTTCCAGTTCGTTACTCACAACACTGGCCAACAAGATTACTAAATTATTATTCCATCTGTCATCTCAGGCAGTGATGGAAGTGGAGCTTTCTAACTGAAACTTATCCACTAAACGTAGCAATACCACAATGTAAAAATACTCTATTACAACTAAAAGTTGTGTATTCAAAATGTTACTAATGTAAAAGTTCAGAAGTACAGTTTTACCATTACTCATTATACAGAATGGCTTCTGTCACACAGTGTTATGTTATTATATATTGTATGACTCGTACTTGTATTACTACTGTTTTTCTATTACTACTTGTAGTTAATGCAGTTGAGATAGAGTTCATTAAAACTACTTTATATACTGTTCATCATAATTATCATGTTATTTGTTGATCTTGTGTTTTGAATGTAAAATCTTAATCTGCAAAGTAACTAGTAACTATATCTATCAAATAAATTTAGTGGAGTAAAAAGTACAATATTTCTCTCTGAAATGTAGTAAAGTAGAAGTGTAAAGTATCATCAAGTGGAAACACCTTTAAATTGTACAGAAGTTGTGTAATTGTACTTAGGTACTCCACAATTTATCAATTTATTTATCTAGTGATATTTCAGACATCACTGGTGTGATTTTGACAAACTACTGGTGCATGTTGTTGATGTATAGTTTATATTATAAACCATTACAGAGATTCTAAATGAGCAATTTAATAAGTACTCTGTGACCACTTGTGGTGCTATGGAGCAATATTTTTCGAGTGGGCCCCTGCTTTGTACATGTACTGTAGATGCTTTAGGTTGCAACACATTTTCTACAACTGGTTTTACACTATTAACAAGAAATGTGTCAGCAAAGGCAGAGAAGCAAACATGGATGTAAACAATTTAAAATATTCAAAAATCGTCTTTAAAAATGTTTTATGAGGTGAGAAATGCATTCGAGACATTCAAGACCTCAAGAATACCCCACAACGCGTTTTACACCAAATGTAAACACAGCTTTTGTTTGTTTAGAAGCACCTTCAAGATTAAAAAGGCCACTGAAAATGATGGATGTCATGTAGTGCCAACAATGCAACTCTTTCCAAGAAGCACAGGTTTTCCCTGTATAATATTAAAACAATATAATAACAATGTAATACTCAGATGATTGCAAGTTTTTTTAAATTAATAAAATATAATAATTATGGACATCACGCAGGCTTTTGACTGCAGCATTGTCTAACCATTACTTTAGTAGGACAGACAGAGAAGGTCTGATGTAAACAACGGGCATTTCATCAAACCCGCTCCATTTTCTCACTGTGGTAGCTTGCAGCCCTTGGCGAAGGCACTTTATTGTCACTGTCAGACCAAAGTCATTGTGCTGTGGCACAGGAGCATTGGGATAATAAAAGGCACCCACACTGCGCTTTTTTACTAACAACAGAGGACAGAGACAATCACACAAAAACATACACAAACCTGCATCAAGGCATATCCAGACACACTTTCACAAAAAAAGAGGGAGAGGCATGGTGAGTCCTAAGCTTTTCACCACCGTCAGCAAACACTCTGCTAAGCATTTAACTCCAGCCAAGCAAATTCATCAGTCTGCCTTGCCTATGTGACAGCCTGGAGTTGGTCCTGAGGGTGTGTCTCGCTGGCAGAGGGCCAGGGCAACATGAGAGAGTCATCGGTGAAAAAAAGATGCGAGTGAAGATGCAGGAGGCGCTGCGTACCTGACTGAGAGCTCCTCCGTGTGTTCTGGTTGCTGCTGCTGCTGCTCCAGAGCGGCTGGGCCCAGCCAAGCCAGGGAGTGGATTAGACACGGCACCCAGGCCAAGGTGTCTCTCACCTGGGCCGGGAAGTCTGCTCTGATTGCACTGCGCTCTGATTCGGTCGAGGAGCTGGGTGAGCTCCATCCCTGTGCCATCCTCCTCACCTCTCGCTGCTGCTGCTGCTGCTGCTGCTTCTGTGGCCGTCTCTAACAGAGCATCACAGGAGTCGGCCCGCTGCAGCTGTAGAGCCCGGGCTGCCTGCAAACAGCCAACCAGAGGGAGGAAAAGGGGGAGTGAGCAGGAGAGAGAGTGAGGCAGAGAGAGAGAGAAACGGTGAGAAGAGAGTGAGTGATGTAAGGAGTGAGAAATACAAGAGAAAAACAAGAAAACAAGGGAGATGAATCTAGTTTGTGAATGAATCCAAAGGAGAGAAAGAGGCAAGAGCAATGTGTGTGTTGGGGGTGGGGTGGGGGGGGGCAGTCCACGCAATGCAGAGGGAAAATGAGAATCAGCAGGAATGAGAAAAAAAAGAAGGAGGTAAGAAAGGAAGCAAGGAGAGAGGAGGGCTGGATGAGTAAAGGGATGAGGAATTGCTAGATACTGTGAAACGTCACTCTCACAAATCAAATGCTCACAGACAAACATGACATGACTATAATGTCAGGGTTGGAAGTGAAAGTACAGGCTACTTGTAATGATCATGTTCTCATAACAATGACAACAGCTATTCCCATAATAACATACAGCACTTTACACATAGTTTGTTATGTAATCTACTCTTCTTGTATAAAAGCACTAGGTTTGGAAGTATGGAATGGTAGTGAAAATAAATTATTTCACTTTTTGCTGGGTACCCCCTGGACCTCCCTCAAGGACCCCTAGGGGTCACCAGACCCCACTTAGAGAACCACTCATAGCGTAAAAAAGAGCATCTCAAATATCCTTGCCCTCAATCTCTGTGGTCAAATTTTGTACAAAGACTAAGCTAGCAAAATGTAATTGGAACAAAACATGAAAGTACATCAGAATCTCATTTGTTTTATTCTACATATTTGGTACTAAACCAAATAAACTCTTGGAGAAATTGAAAATTTCAGTTGCTGGGCTTTCCAGCCACCAGATGTTTGCCTGTGAAGTTCTCCCTGATCTTATAGAATCAATTTAGAGAGTATTTTGCCTTCTGTGACTGTACCTAGAGCTCAGGCTCCTCACAACATTGCTCCCAAGGAGTCACACCACATCTTCCACCAAGCAAACTTTCCAGTCTGATAAAGAGAAGTGTTCTCCCTCTGTCAGGCTGTCATTGTAAAGTTACATTTTTGCCTGAATAAATAAAAGGTACATTAAAATTAAAAAGGTTGTGGGGTAAGAAAGAAAAAAAGATGTCATAACAGGCATTTGCAATACATATAGTGACCTCAAACTCCTGTTGCATCTCCTGCAGCTCTGACATGGAGTGCCGAATCTCTGCCTGCAGCGTCAGGCTGTTCTGATCTGCCTTCCTCTTTGACTCCCTGAGCAGAGCCACCTGTTGCTCCAGATGCATGGTGTTCCTCTCCTCCGTCTCACACCTATGATGTGATGTCAACAGGGAAGGTTATCCAATTCAGTATTTATTGTTACTCATATATCCATGGCATACATCAAATGCAATATGCAATAATGCAGTAACACCTCATATAAACACAGGAAGGAAAGGGTGAAATGGCCAGAGAAAATATATTAATTCAAATTGAGGACAATAGATCAAAGTCAAGTATTGCCTTATATCTACTTAATTTAAAAGGGGATTCCAACAATAGCCAGTGAGTACCCACTGAGGGATTGTGATTTTAGCTGAAAGATTCTATTTTGGTGCATTAAATGGAGGGTTTAAGAGTTGAAACTAAATATAAATACATAAATAATTATAAATGCTTAAATAATAAATAAATAATAAAATACTATGATTAATTAATGTAGAATAAAATTCTTGAATAAAAGAATAAAAAAAGCAATGTAATTAAATGTATTTAATTGTATTTAATGTACTGTATATTAATTTAGGGTGGCACGGTGGTCCGGTGGATAGCACTGTGGCCTCACAGCAAGAAGGTCTTTTCTGTGTGGAGTTTGCATGTTCTCCCTGTGTCTGCGTGGGTTCTCTCCGGGTGCTCCGGCTTCCTCCCACCATCCAAAGACATGCAATTGTCCTTAGGCCTGAGTGTGAGTGTGAGTGGTTGTCTGTCTATGTGTGGCCCTACGATGCCTTTCACCCGATGTCAGCTGGGATTGGCTCCAGCCCCCCGTGACCCTGTATGCAGGATAAGCGGTTGACGATGGATGGATGGATGGATGGATATATTATCTATTTAGAATTTTGTTTATTTATATATTTCAAATGTATCCATAGTATAACTTGCTGCTGCAAAATACACTTACTGGCCACTCTATTAGGTATACCTGTTCAATTCAGCCAAGCACATGGTAGCAACTCAATGCATTTAGGCACGTAGACGTGGTCAAGACAACTTGCTGAAGTTCAAACTGAGCATCAGAATGGGGAAGAAAGGGTATTTAAGTGACTGTGAATGTGGCATGGTTGTCACCAAAGTCTCTGAGCAATGTTTCCACCACCTTGATGAAAGTATGCCACGAAGAATTAAGGCAGGTCTGAAGGCAGAAGGGGGTCCAACCCGGTACTAGCAAGGTGTACTTGGGACTTGGAAATGGGACCATCCGAGGAGCACGTGAATGCACCGTGAGCCACTGGTTGCAATTTGCAACCCTCAACACTAGATGCCACTAAAACTTATACACTGAACCTTTAAGCATTTTTATTATATAATTATTTATGTATTTATATATTTAGCTTCTGTCCTTAAAACTCTACATACATGAAAGTGAAGGAAAAAAAAGAAAAAAAGACCTTGACAGAATTTATGTGTGTCATACAGTCCAGAGTCTTGTAGAAACCTCAGCTGGAGCTATAAATAGAACTGGTGTATTTATTTCAAGCTGCAGAGTGTTGCAACTGTCCTTCAGGGGTTAATGGCTGACAGTGGATAGGTAGTGTGTTTGTGTGTGTTGAGGGAGGTGGTGGTGGTGGTGGTGGTGGTGGGGGCTTGGTGTCACTCTGCATCAATACATAAGTGAAAGTGCTGACGCAGCACAAAGCCCGGGCTGGAGGCATACAAATCCAGGCCAGCTGGCTCACAAGAGCAAGAACTGGCCTGAGCTAGATAACAGAGGCCTGGAAAAGCATTGCAGCAGGATGAAAAGAGGAAGTCCTTCTTAGTTATTCTAAACCTATGCTTAATATATTGTGATGCCGGTAATGATCACATTCTATCCTAGCAGGTATTACTACGTTCCAATTAAGAAACAAATATTTTTTTTTCTCCTCTGTACCGGATCACTTTGGTATGATTGAGTGTAATATGCTTATGGTATGCAATCGCTTGCCTAATTTACTAATTAATAGCCCTAGACTGTATTGATCAAGGGAGAGGGGCATTAGACCTTTCAGGAAAACTTTAGCCAAATACAGCTGACCTGGCCCGGATGGCAGCAGCTCTGGACTTCATGCTGTCAGACTGTAATGCCAGCTGGGCATTCTCCATCAGTAGTTTACCAACCTGACAAAAAAAATACAAAACAATACAATAACATAAGATTAGAGTACAGCTGAGTAAAGTTAATTTGGGCCAGGGAATTTGGTAGAGGTCTTGTCTAACAGAGTAAAATCCTTTGTTTACATTACGTCCTGTATTATTATACTGTGTTACTTTGCACTGCCACCTACGCGTAGAGAACTTAATAAACCAATGTGTTAATATGTCTTCTGTGCAAAAGGACTACTGGAAGAATAACCTTTATATCAGGGATGATTATGTCTCTCCTTTAGTATAGTACGCTTTGATGCTCTACATAAAATAAAATGTTTGTCCTGTAAGAAATGAGTTAGTAACTTTGTACATATCTGGACAAACAATCTATTTCCTGTCTAGGTGATTCAAAACTATACCAGGGCCAAAACTAACCTAATATTGGCTCATTAGCTTCAAGCTATTTTCCTGGTATAGCCTCCCTGATGAAAATGAGTCATTTTGGAAAGTGGAAAGCCAAATTCAGTCCAGATTAAAACCAAAGAAATGCACAATTTTAAACATTTCAAATGCTGCATCTCACTAAATGCATCCACTCACAAATAAGCTATAATGAGCCAAAGACTTTGCACAAACCACAACTTTTGTATTAAAAGTACTTATGGCGACTGATGAGCTGAGGAGTACAGTCTTTTTGGAAAACTGGAATCACATGAATAGATTATGATGTTCCTGTACAATAATGCCTGATGTGCCCTGTGCAGTCTGGTGAATATAACTTGTTCATCTTTTGTAAAACACTGAAATAATCTTTGGGTAATAATTATTGTGCTTTATAGCACATCAAATTGGCTGTTACAATTGAAATTATTTTTTTTATTGTTTTTTTTTTAATCTCTCCTCACCTCACTTCTGGGATCAATCAGTTCTGAAGCATGTACTGCATTCATACAGTACATGGAGTAAAGCTAACATCTTACACAACACAGCAAACAAATTACTGGGTTTTTTTAGTTGAGCATTAGTAGTGATACAGAGGCTTGTGTAAAAATGACCAAAATGTGCCATTCGTTCCCGATTCTTTTGATTCTCATTGTTTAGGTTAAAAGGTTCCAATGGAGGAATCCCAGTAGCCTACAAAAAGGTGGCTCCTTGTCTTTACACATTAAAATGCTAACACACCCTTATTCCCTTTGTTGTCTTATGAATACAACACTTTCAGAACAAGACGCACCCATGTTGAAGGAACGCCAAAGATAACGAAAAATTGCTTAACATTTATTTCATATACGTATAAAACACTCATGAGGATGTTTCAGTGCCTCCCCATTTTTAAGCCCATGTGAGATGAATGAATGAGTACTGACAAGATTTCCAACTTAATGTCTTACTTACTCATCATAACATCTCTGCTGTAAATAATAAGATAATCTAAGCACTTCTTATGAAGATCAATTACAAAGTAATCCTATATGTTGACATGAAAGCATTGCCTGGCTCAGTGAACAATGACACACGCAGAGGTTGCTCTTGTGCCTGTCACAGTCACAGGCACATCAGCCAAACATTGGAGTTTAGCTGGATGACGGGGTATGAAACAAGAAACAAGAGATTAAAACGTCAGTCAGTGACACCTACTCATGCAGAGAGTGACGCTAAAAGAAGAAAGCAGTTGAAAACCATCAAGTCGGGACATGTGAGATAACCATACCCGTTGGCGTTAATGTTCTACTGCTGTAAGTGGAAGGGCCTTTAAAGTAATAAAATGTTTTCCGCATTCTTTCTGTGTGACAGCAACGTTTCTAATCCTCAAGTTAGTTTAATGATTTATCTCTAACAAAGATCCTTCATAGTACTGATCCAACATTGTAGGACAGTAAACATCACTAAAATAAGCTTTTTACTGCCCTTGCTTCTCCAGAATGTCAATTTCTGTCAGCAAATAAGTATCCAGCTGGTTTTGAAAAGGTTCAAGAAGAGGCTGCTGGCTAACCGCCTGGAGTACAAACATGATAATTATCACTAATCAACAGCAATTTACAACTTCTATAGACTCCAACCTATGTTTAGCCACTATACACTCTCAGTCTTTGTATAAAGTTCCAACAGCAACTTGAAGTTGATGATGGTTTTAATTAATGCTGCTGTTTCCCAGCCAGCGCTGCCCTTAAGTCACTTTACCTGGTGAACATTTACTTGAAGCTGTTGACATGATGTTGCACGCAGTCGTCATCAACAATAGTACAATAGTAATCTGATGTGTCTCTGTTTTGACTGCTGTTTGATCATAGACACCTACTTCTGGTGTCTGCCAGCCAATATGGCCTTGAGCTGATGTAATGGAGCATAATCATAAAGCCTGAATGGAAATAAAACTTTGGCACATCTGAAACACTTTTATACCTTTGTCTGTCAAACAGATGTGAAATGTCTAAGTCAGGGGTTTTCAAAGTCTGAGACTGTGGGCCTCCCGTCTGGCAAAGCTTGGGGAAATGTGCCTCCCCAGACCCCCTTAATTTACCTGGATGCCTTTGGGATCATGATTATGTTATTTGATCCCATAGACACTCAACAATTGAGCCATGATAGGCTAATACCTTCAGACTAAACCAAATGCATAAAAAAGGTGGGTCCCTGGCATGTTTTAGTTCCTGACTCTAGGAGTCAGTAAAAATCCCCTACTATCATGTGTCTGAACTATCTCTTAAACCAAATCACACGCATTTAGGCTATTCTATGTGATCTCCTTTTGATAACTAATTTTTTTTCACTTCAGATCATTGAGCCTCACCTTTAACAGTTTGAAAACCTCTGGTGATTCCAAATCATCACCATATATTTAAAAATCTCAGCAAAACTGAGTCTGACCTGGGCACGGAGCTCATTGATGGTCTGTTCCTGCTGGGACCAGTCCCGGGAGCGTGAGGTGCTCCTGACGCCCCAGTCAGCTATCTGGGCCTCAAGTCGCCAGTTGGCCTCCTGTAGCCTGTTCACCTGCTCCAGGAAGCTCTTCAAGCGGGTGTTCAAACCCCACATGGTGTGACTGGAGTCCATGGAGACCTGAGAGAGAGCACACCCAAATGTTTGCAGACACACAACATGAGCCGCTGATATTTCCATACAGTCAAATGACGCAACACAGCTGATAGCCAAAACATTCAGATAGCACGCGACTATCCAACTTACTATGTTTCTTGCAGAATGCATACACGGAGTTATAGAGTTATAACAAGCAACAGTCTGCCACCCACTTTACATCACACGCTGCCAGGGGCGTTTACTAGGTAAATGTTTACCCACCTGAGGCAACATGGCCTTCCACGAAATAAGGCACAGTAAGTGTAGTAACGAGACAGCAAAAGTCCCTCAGTCTGTTCACCTGGTCACACTGAGCCGATCCACCACTCCACACAGCTTAGCTACATTCCTCTACAGCGAGCTGGTCAACACGTTCCGCTTCCCACTGTGTCCCAGGTCATCAGTAGCGGGCCCCTGAGACAGAGCAGACAGGCTGCCATTAGTCTGCCAGTATCGCTGTGTGTGTGTCAGTTTGTGGTCTTGAGGGTCCTCCACGCCAGGGATGTTCCTCTCCGTCCCACCTCACCTCCCGAGGCAGCGTGTTGGAGAGGCGAGAGCAGTGGGGTAAGCACTGACTGGACACGCTGCTTACATCACCAGCACTCTGGGGCCCTTTGTCCTCTCTGATCCAGGATTACTGAGCTGTTTTCACACAGGCAGCAACACAAGCTGTGGAGTGAATGTTCAGGGAGATGCAGTGATGGGATCTGTGTGTGAGTGCATGTGTGTATTTGAGTTGTGCTTTAATAAGAGGGTACCTTTAAATGTACTATAATTAATGTGAAGCTGCACTGAGGTCAAGTAACACACGCTTTGTGCAGAGTTACTACATCTTGCTCAATAACAGTCTTGGCTGGTTTTAGACAATAACTGAGTGTTTGTGTCTGTCTGGGCCAAAGGTTTCATTTCTTAATATTATAATGTGGCTTCAATATTTCCTTGGATACACTGCTTACTGACCTGACATGCCACAACTACAGCCCTGTATTTCAGCAGAGACACATTATGGCTTTGGTGCTTCAGGAATTTTGATATATTTTCATAGCTATCTTCTACAACCAGCAGACAGCCTGTATGGCGTCGTCACAGACATACTGTACTGAAAATATTTTAGGCGTTATGAGAAGATGTGTTTGATTAAGCAAGGGGTGTGGTATTTAAAGACTCCTTTGAATATCTGAAGGTACTTTGGGATCCAAAAGTACCTTCAAATATTCACTACCACAAAAAAATCAAAACATAAAATTGTAGCCTGGTGTTGCTCCCCAGTTGATAGACCGGTCATTTTTAAAGCGCAGCATGACACATACATACAGCATATGAATTTAAGTTATTGATGGTTTCTGATACTGCGCACGTGAAACTAAGTAAAGGCTAGTTCACACGATTTTAAACCCGATTTGTAATCGGGCTCGCTAATTGTTATGTGTGAACTACTCAAGGACACATCAAAACAGCTCCCCGATACATTACTGACACATCGCCGAAGCCAGCCACATATCTAGCATGCTGAATATCTGGAGGAGTCGGCCTACTCGACATCTACATCCAGCCAATGGGAGCAGGCAGCTACTTTTTCACTGCAAGACACTTTTTATTCACCTCCAGCTCTCTCTGCAGCTCAGACAGTCCCTGCTACCTGTGTATGCTAATCCACTCTTTCACCCAGATTCTTTGTCTTTGTAATCGCTATCTTAATCTAAATGTTCAAATGCAGCAATAATGCTCTGGTCACACCAAAAAGTGTCATAGCAAAGTCTATTTGTGTGTCTTTGTAAGACTGAAACTGCACAAAAAATAAAATTGTATAAAATTCATGATAGTGCGTTTTATTGCTTATGCATTCAGCTTTTGATTTAGTAATTTAAACAGTCTCACTTTAACAGTTACACATTACAAAAGACAAGCCTGCTGTATACTTTAGATACTTTTATCCCCACATCCTGCCTGTTAGCAGGATGTGGGGATGTGCAGACAACTGACCCTGCACTTCCATCTGCTACAACCGCTGTGCAAATATTGTCCGTGCTTTGACTTCTATTCTTTACGCTGAGAAACGACAGAGGATCAGCAGCCAGCTGACTTTCTCATGTGGTCTTGGTTGTGGTTTTCATCCATCTGTTTGGTCATAAAGAGAGAGAGAGATGGACTGATAGAGAGTGACAGAATGACAGGTATGGAGACAGAGCAGGAGAAAATTAGCTTTATAAGTAGACAGTAAAGCAGGAAAATGTGTGGGAAGAGGAAAAAATGTTAATGCAAATTTTAATCATTAAACACACACACACACACACACAAACACACACACACAAACACACCCACACACAAATCATGCTGACTAACCAAATAGTGCCAGACAGGACTGCCAGGATACTTAGTGTCATCACACTCCCACACCCTCTCAGCAAGGTGGCCTCCTGAACAGCAATGATGATGACGGCGATTGTTAATGTCATTAATTAAAATCCTGGAAAAACGACACCTGTCAGGGCGTTGTAGGCGGCTTTGTTCTGAGTAACTGGGACAGATGATTTCTGCTGTGAGTACAAACAGGGAATGCTACCGAGCCTGTTTTTAGTTGTCATGTTTCTCCCACAAAGAAATAGCCTTAGTCACACGGCATTTGCAGGATTGTTTGGTCAAGGGGAATCACGTAACTGACGGCGAGAGTGAGTCAAGTTCAGGAGCAGAGTTGGAGGCTTCAGAGGCGGACACTGCCTACAAGACAGAAAATAAACAAGTCGGCCTCAGATTACAGGTTTAACAATGAACAGTCTTAACAGCTCCCTCGTGTTCCTGACCTCTGTGACTTTACATTCCTCTGCCTCTGTTCCCCTCCCGGGTGGGCGCCTAGCAGCTCTTTGATCTTTCTCATGTGATCCCTCATTTTCTGTACAAGAAGTTTTTTACTGTTTGACAGACGCGGAAAAGAGAAACACCTGTTATACAAACATACAATGGCTTTGATCCATTCTCTAACAATTATAAAACAAACCCCAGGCCAGGAGGTTTTTGTCTGTACATGATATCATTACACAAGCACTTGAGTTCTGGATTGGAAGGTATTATGGTTTAAATCCACAACTGCAGAAGGGATTATCTTCACATAAACTATTTACCAGACTCTGCTGTAGGGGTTATGTGTAGCTAAAGCATGTTTCATGTGCTTTTATAATAACAGATGTTCTTAAGATACCACATCCTTCAACCTATGTCCCTCAGGGCTTATTTAAACCTGTAAAGCGCTCATTCAAGCACTCATTATTTATGCTTCAACTGAAAATAATCATTATTATTATTGTACCATTTAAAGCTTCACATGTTTTTATTTCAACAATGACTCAAATGTGACATTGCACTTTCAATGACAAACATTGGCAACTCTCTACAAGGGAGATAAAGTTGCTAGATTTGTCTCTAAGCAAAAATAGACTGGTGAACACAGTGGAGCATTTTGTAGCTTAACAGCCAGTTTTATTCCTCAGGTTGGTGACTAAAAATGAGCTAAAAGGACAGTGAATACAGAGCTAATACAGCAGCAAATGTAGGGGCCCTACCTAACCCCACGATGGGGCTGGTTGGCACAAATACACAACAGGACTTTAATCATGAATCATCAATTTCAGAAAACATTTCCATATTCATAAAGTATGCCAACCAACCCCGGTCTCCCCAACACAGGGACGCATACCATATAATAAAGGCATACTAAATGGTGCAAGATATTCTGATTTATCTGGTTATTTGAATGGCCAAGATAACTTATATCTAATCGTTATGAACAACAATTTAAATCTCAGCAGACAACAAACTCCACCAAACACCAACATGCTGTATGTCAAAGCAGCCACAGCAAATACACCGTCAACAACAGGGATTTATGCATGCGACCTGCAAGGAGAGGAAGAGGGAGAGACAGCACCTGGACAAGAGAGAGAGATGTGACCCACGACCAGTTCATTATAGTTTAGAATAATGCAGTGCAGAGAGGATGCAGAAGTTTCATAGAGGAGACAAGCGTATGTCTGTCACTGTAAACTGAGACTCCAGTCTGCAGTGAGTTCACACACCTCAGTGATAAACCACAGAGCTGTAGACAAAACATTAGGCCACGTGATCAAACAAAGTTTTTATGTAACATCAGCTTTTTTGTCCATACTGGCACTTTCTCGTCCACATGATCTCTCTTTCTCTCTCTCTCTCTCTTCCCTGCAACTCTGGATCACAGTTTTATTTATAATCAATTAATGTTTTTTTTTATAATGCCTGGTTTTTGGGCGTGCTGCAACCCACTTAGCACCTCCACATCCCATGTACATGCCTCTACACATTGAGTGAAATTATGTAGTTTATTGTAAAAGTGGATGAATTTTTTGAATATTATAACTTTAGCTTTTTTTCATTTGAAACGGTTGAAACGCGGCTAAGACCACCACTGAGTGAATATTGGATATTTTATCAAGGGGCCAGAAAAAAGACTACAAGTACATGCTAATGTTGCTGTGTGTGCTGCTGCTGCTGATGTCTAAATTGGTAAGGGTTGTATTTGCCATAAAATCTTTAAAGGTGATTATATGTCCAAGTGGCCACAATGCTGCTTTATTACTCTGTAATTCAAGAAATACATTCCCACTTGTCCACTAAGCAGAATATTTACTGTAGCTAGCCAGGTAACTGTTCAATAGGTCCATCCTAATGTTGGCTCAGCCAGTATCAGAACCTTAATTCTATCAACCAAACCATCCACAACTTTAATGTTGATCATACCAGAGAGTGAAGAATGAACAATTATGTTGTTGCGGTCTTAATAGACTACCAGACACACCTCATTCCATACATTTCACAGTTTATAGCCCAGAAAACAATCATGACAGATAAAAGAAATTCCTTTGAGGGTGTTTTTCCTATGCAATGAAGGGAACCGAGTTAATGACGATGTGTCTTTCACGTCCATCATGAATGCTCGTTTGTGCCATCCCACTCTGGTTCTTATGTAATAATGAGGGACCACAGCAAGAAAAAGCAACAGAAAAACAAAGCCTTATATGACAAAGTTTGAGTATTTCCATTCTTAGCCTGAGGGAACAATTACATTAATGTCAGTATCATTAAACATTAAAAAAATAAGTACCTCGACAGTGCCTGAATAACTGTTATCCTTCTCACATCTGTTTGACATTTTGCAAAGCACCTCAAGGTTATACAACACTTGCATTTCACAAAACAATTAGATTAGCAGTGACACGCTGTAATTTAGTTTTATGTAGAACAAGGATGGGCAAATATTTCAAACAGCTGAACAAGTCAGCGCCGTGTACTTCGTGTTGTTCCTGGTGGTCGGTGGGGTCGGCACAGGGGCTGGTGGATGTGGTGTGGGTATGTCTGAGGTGACGAGATAAACTGAGTTTGGTTTGATCGAACCTGGCAACGTGATAATGTGACAACGTGATGAAACCCAAACTGGGATGCTGGAGCTACCTGTTAGAAATTAGTTAAGACATTATTTCTTTTGTATTATTTTAAATAAAATATTGTTTAAATAAACTAAACAAGCACCTAAATAAATCTGTCCTGAATCCCACACCTAAACTTTTCTAACCTTTTCACTATTAGCCTTCCAACCTCACCCAAGTTCAGCCAGTTTATGTTATTGTCCTTAGTTGCTTTATTTAGGCGTGACAACAACAGAGACAGAAACTCTAAATTTAACAAAAACAAAGCAGAATAATATTAATCTAACAAAAAGAAAAGCATCCCTAAAAGGTCACCATTGGCCTGGACATGTATGTTGAAAAACCAATAAATATTCAACCTCAATTTAGGCTCCTGTGTCGTATTAACTCTTGCAGACCCTGACTCTCTTAAGAAATCATTTCTCAAGACAGCTAGCTCAAACTATGATTTTGAATTTTGTTTAGTTAGTCATCTTTAGTTTAAACACCTGTCTGTCTAGATCTATTTTACACCAGCATTAATAGGTTTTTTGGCCTCTTGGGGACAGCACAATCAGCTAAAAACAGACCATTGATTGATTAGTAGTAGCTAAAACACAGCTGAGTTGTTTAATAATTCTCTCTGGGTTTGTCACTACAAAGCGACTTGTCACATTATAAATAGTAATTTGATCCATTGTAAAAATAAATATATTGATTATTTAAACCCTAGTTTCAGCTCTTGAGTTCATTCTTTCAAATTATGCATTGGTCTAACGCCAACCCCCTTTATTTTAATCTCCTTTGTCAGTTTAGATCCAGTTTAACACTCTGTATTGCTAAGATTTCGGTATCTAAAAGAAGCTTATCTGATTCATTTTCTATTTGACTTAAGGGGCATTTACATGTCAGTACTCAGATCAGTTCTTAAGAAATGCTTGTAGAGAAATGTGGCTTAGTAATGCCTCATTAGACTGGTTTACTGGCGGTTTCGTAAATTTCTCATGAAAGGTAACAAAAAACCCCACACACGCACATTAAGAACACCTGATTAAAGAGCAGCACCCGCTAGTCCACCCATTAACAGTAAAACGCCTGCCAATCACTTCTAATTGATCCATTTCACAGCGTCCATACTGGTAATTATATCATTTAAATGATATTTGGACTTGTTTTTATAAATGTCAGCAGTTATGAGAACAAACATGTTTCTTGGGAATTGGAGCCTATTGAGTTTCGGAGTGACTGTCAGTATTCAAAACAGGGCTACTTGGCAGCTGTTACGAAAAATAAATAAGGTCTCTATAGTGTCCTTGTTTCTCCGGGAGTATTCCACTATGGCTGCCAAGATCAACTTTTAGTTGTATTTTGCACAGTGGATAGGCATTACAAGCTTGCTAGCAGAGGAAAAGGGAACGACTCCTGAACATTTTGAGTGTCATATTATAACATCAAAACACTGTTGTAGTCAGTCATCCTGGATCCCAATACAACTTTCCAGTCTTGCGTATCTGCAACTGGGGGATCAGACAACATGCTGTCTTTTTCTGTGACTAGCTTCTGAGATACACATGTTGCGTGTTGAGGTCACTTGAATTAAAACGTGCTGACAGACACAACACAGACGTGCCCGTATGCAATCAATCCACAACTCAGCATGGAATTATTATTTTCTGAAAGAGAATTGCAGACCTATGTCCTTCTGGTAAAGGAGGGTTGTGGAAGAAGTGCTGAAACTATTCATGTTTTTTAGTCCAATCCAAGGTCAGATTTTGATTAGAAAAATAACTTATGTTGGAAAGGTCAGAAAAAACTATTTCACTAATCACTAATAAGAAATAATATATACATTGAAGAAAACATAATTTGTTTAAAGACAAGAGCCATCCTCAGGCATTGTGCTGCCATCTGATACTGAAAAATGATCACTGCTGTCGGTTTGTAGAGCTTAAAGCACAACAAGTGATTGCATGCACATGAAAATGTGAATTCAGTATCAGTATAGGCCATTCTTAAAAATCCATTGTACACATGGCCACTGTATGAGACAAGGTTATGTTAGCTCTGCTCTGAATGAGTGAAATTAATTTCTAAAGTTTAGCAGACCCCTCACCTCCTTTTGAGTTCATGTTTATTCACATGCAAGCATAAACCTAAAAAGATCAAGCTCACCTATGTTTGCTTATGCGACAGCAGCCCGGGGCAGCAAAACACTGGAACAATACATTCTCTCAGCACCTAACTGTGATTGTACCTACAACTAATAAAATCAGTAATATCAAAAACAACAGTTGGTCAGTTTGTTAAAATGAGTAGGAAGTACAATTACACTGACACATGGTCCAATTTATTTATTAAGCTTTGGGTCGTGTGTTGAAGACATGTATATTTAATGTTGGGATAAATTAGCCAGTGACTGCTTATAAAGGAATGTTAATCCTGTATTTCCTCATGAGATTAAGTGTGTGAGGCTTAATTAAAGGTGACAATTGGGATGAACAATGCCTCTCACGCCTAACTCACCTGAACTGAAATTTCCGTGACAGCCGTTAGGTAGGCTATCGCGGGCAGTAAACCTGAATGCCAACCCACCACGCCCTGTGGCCACACCTGTGATGGTGGCGAGCAGCATCTTTCCACCTACCTGTTCAGCCGCGCCCACGTTCAGGAAGGAGGCTAGGCTATAAAATCCATCCTCCAGTCCGCCTCAGCACTGTCTCCTTCGTGTCTTTCTTTGACTGCTCCTGTATCAGAACAGAAGACAACATGAACAGCCCGTACCGCTCTGGGTTATCCGCCCTGTCCCTGTACTCTCTGCCCACAATGACAGGCTCCAAGCGGGGTACAAGCGTCTATGGCGGTGCAGGTGGGGAAAACGTCCGGGTGTCCTACGCCTCCAACGGTCTTAGGTCTGGCTTTGACCTGGCAGACGCGGTGAACGGTGCCGGAGGTAACGTGAACAGTTCAGGCAGCGAGAAAGTGACCATGCAGAACCTAAACGACCGCCTGGCCGCCTACCTGGGAAAAGTGCGCTCTCTGGAGTCCGCTAATGCGCAGCTGGAGCGTCAGATCCGCGAGTGGTACGAGAAGCAGACCCCCACCACCAGGGACTACAGCAAGTATGAGGCAATCATCAACGACCTGCGCAAAAAGGTATGCTTTTCCCTCCCCACAGTCTCAGAAACATGAACCAAGACGTCTTTAATTATATACATTCTATTTTACTACTTTAAAATAATCATAATAATAATATGATAACCTAAAAATAATGTGATTTAATAAAACATATTTGGAATATATAACACATGTCGTTTTTGATAATTATATAACATGACTTAAGATACTTTTAAAAACTTTAGGTGGGCTTATCCTCCACAAATTACAATCCAACCCATAGAAAGCCTTTTATTCTTTCCCCACCATATTGACATACTGCATTATGAATAACACATTAAAGTCAGCTGTATAATTCTCAGTTAGCATAAAATATCAGGAACAACAAACAGGATGTACTGCAAGTGCGAGTTAAAGTCAGAAAGAACAAGTTAGCTGGACCACTAGACTTTAAAAGTAGAGCTTCTTTTTCTTTTTTTTGTGCCAAGAACTGCCAAGAGGGGTGTTTAACACTTAATGAGCAAATGTGATGCCATCCAGATTGAAAGAGTCCGGCGCAAAGCAAACTATTCTGCTGATCAAGGAAACACTGCCAGCCCATATTCTACATAACGAATCACAAACACGCCTTTGTGGTTATATTATATGTAGATAAGAAACCACTGACAATGCTTTTTTTCCTCTTCTTTATTTAGATCAGTGTTGCCTCACAGGACAATGCCAGGCTGATGTTACAGATTGACAACGCCAGACTGGCATCAGAGGACTTCAGAATAAAGTGAGTGGAAATGTTATGTCAGAAGGTTTCAGTCCTGTGTGGTGAAAAATCTAATTGGCATTACTATTTTTTTTATAATGGCGACATGACATCACATGTTTGTTCAGTAGATCCAGTCCATGTGGACATAATGTCCCAGGGTTGTCACAGAGCATTAAACTGGTGAAACTGGTTTGTCTTTTTGATAGTGGGAACAGCAACATAAACCACTGTGCTGGGTGTCTCTCGACAGGTTTGAGAATGAGATGGCAATGCGCACGTCAGTGGAGTCGGACATCTCCGGACTGCGCAGGGTTTTGGATGACCTGACCACAGCCCGGTCTAGCCTGGAGATGCAGGTGGAGGGCCTGAAGGAGGAGCTGGTCTACCTGAAGAAGAACCATGCAGAGGTGAGAGTTCTGCTGTTGGGAATATCATTAGACCATCAGTGAGCTCAGGTGCCCAATTGTCCTCAATATCTTCACAGTTATCAGTTTCTGCACTGCAAAACAAAAGATCAGTCTTGTTCTGTTTCTTTATATGACCAAATAGAAATATTAAAGATCCATTCCAGTCATAGCTTCTAGAAAGTCTTACTGCTAAGGGTCAAAACAACATTAAAATGGTTTTTCATGAAACAGTTAGCCAACTATTTGCCAAACGCAAATAGTGACTCATCTGATAACTTCTCAGTTGATTTACTTGCAGATGTGCTCCTAAATGAGCATCAACATGAATAACGTTTTTCAAGTTTTATTTGTGCAAGGGGCCGTACAAAACACAGAGGTAACGCTATTTAATACATAAGAATAGATGGAGATGGCAAGATGGGCAAAATGACATTTTAAGACATTTTAAAAAACAAGTTTGCTAATGTTAGCTAACATTACAACATAACAAGATACAGACCAGACCAAGTCAGGCTGGTTTACCGAATTGCATAAGGGTATGTGTTGTTTTGTCTTTCAAAGGTTACATAGTCACACTTTAACTGTGGTCCAGTCCTTTTTTCATGTTCGTGTTATCTTTGACCTTACTCGACCTTTTGTCCCTGTTGTCCCGCCTGTAGGAGCTTGCAGGCTTGCGTGGCCAAGTTAAGGCCAGCTCTGTGAACGTGGAGGTAGACGGCGGGCCTCAGGAGAACATAACCAAGATGCTGGAGGAGATCAGGTCTCAGTACGAGGGTATCGCTGACAAGAACCGCCGCGAAATGGAGGCCTGGTACAAGGTCAAGGTGAGGGGAACGAGGTGATACCTTGTTAATATCATCTCATCTCATGCCTGCATTTAACTGAAAATGTGTCCTAAATATCAAGCAATTTCCAAATGGCCTGAGTAGCTTTTGGACATTTTACAATCTCATGTCTTCCAGTTTGACGACCTGAACAAGCAAGTGGCATCCAGCACAGAGACCCTCCAGACCTCCCGAAGTCAGATCAACGATCTCAAGAGGACCCTGCAGGCCCTGCAGATTGAGCTACAGTCCCAGCACAGCCTGGTAAATGAGATCCCATATACAACATATGTCAATACCAAAGGAAGCTACAACACACATTTTCATGCAATAGTTTTGCACTACTATATAACATAAATGTTGCTAACCTGTTGCGTTGCTCAGTCTCAAGTCTGTGATCTTATTGTCGTAATATATATTACAACATGGTTGACTGTACACGATAAATAATCAGTCAGTAAACTCTCCTGTTTTCTCCGCCATGCAGAAATCTGCCTTGGAGGGCCAACTGGCAGAGACAGAGTCACGCTACAGCCAGCAGCTGAACCAGCTCCAGGCCATGGTCAACTCCCTGGAGGGCGAGCTCAGTCGGGTGAGGGTGGACATCGAGAGGCAGGGCACAGACTACCAGGTGCTGCTTGACATTAAGACCAGGCTGGAGCTGGAGATCGCTGAGTACAGAAGACTGCTGGATGGAGAGGATCAAACGTAAGGGAATTCTTTAGTGAGATCTTTGTCACACTTACCGTGTGATTCTTCTGTAGCTGGACGGGCAGGCAGGTAGAATAGAGAAAAAATCTGTTGATTCAGTTCTTTTATCAAACAAATAGTTCAACAATTTAGGAAATACTTTTTTGCTTTTGATTTGAGAGTTAGATGATAAAGGATTGATACCACTACCATGTCTTTACAATAAATAGGAAGCTACAGTCAGCAGACTGTTAGCTTAGCATAAAGACTGGAAAAAGGGGAAGCAGCTAGCCTGGCCCTGTCCAAAGGGAACAAAATCTGTATAACAGCGCATTTAAAGCTCACTAATGAACAAATACTAAGTCTGTTTCCAAAATGTGTGTCTTGAATGCTAAAAAACTAACTTTTGTCTATCTTTTAGCAAAACTATTTCCAAAACTGTTCAAAAGACCGAAGTCAAGACCGAAGTCAAGACTGAAGTCAAACGTAAGTTTAAATCCCCCCCACTGTATTTTTTTGCTCTTTGCTCGTAAAAAAATGCAATATCCTACAGGTAAAATTTTGTTTCATTTTTGTCTGCAGCTCAACCAGTTATAACGCAGAGGAGGAGGGTGGTGATTGAGGAAATTGTTGATGGAAAAGTGGTGTCCCGCACAGAAGATGTAGACTCAGAGGTCATCAAGAAGTAGACAGACTGCATCCCAACATATCTGGGTTCAACAAAAGGAGGGGGGGAATTTGCTTCAAGAGGCCCTTCTGTATTTTTTCTGTTTCTGACACCTATCTTATATTTTCCAAATATTTGTGCAGTGCTGATGGACTTTGTTGCCAGAAAATATTGGTTCTGATCTATTGCTATTTTTTTAAGAGCCAATAATTGAAAATGTGAATGTGAAAGCATTGGTGGGAAAACAGACTATATACTGTGTCTGAATTACATTTATTTTTCTGTCACCACCATTTATCTAAAACCCACTGAAAACAGTTATACCAACTGTCCTCCAATCTGCCTCCTGAAGAACAAAATTAGGATGGCACTGTGAGAAAGGAAATGTGGCCAGTATGAAAAGCAATAGAAAATATTTGTGCATAGTGATGTTTTTCTCATGTTAACAATGGTAAAAATGTTTCATGTAGCATTTTTTTAGAAATTTTATCAAATTAAATGTTGTCCTAGTAAAATTACCAAAGGAAATCAGTCCATTGTCAAAAGGATTGGCAGTCTCTGTGATGCAAAGTATTTATCTAAATTAAGACCACACTTCCCATAAATCTTCCTGTATTCTGTTGTGATAGGGATCTTTGACTTTTAATTTAAATTTCTCAAGGGAATAAACATCTGAACTCCACTTGTTTCATCTCCTTTTGCACAAAAATATGAAAATAATTCAGTACAAATGAAGATAACAAAAAGGTAATAAGGTAATTTCAGGTGTGCTGCTGCACTGATATTTTAATACACAGATGAACACTATTTTTGTGGCAATGCCTTAGGGACTGTACAGAAATGACCAGGGGGTGCTAATTTCACTTACAATTTGCAACTTAGGCTGTGTAAAAAAAAAAAAAAATTGTCTCATTAACATATTGAATTTCAAATGAGGGTTTAGTTGAGAAAATTGTGGGGGAGGGTGTTTCAACAGCCCTTACATGTTCTGGCAGGACCAAAAGCTTTTGGTTGCTAAATGTTGGCTAATGTTAGAAAAGTAGGAATGTAGTAATGTGTGAAGGAATAAATCAGAATTACTATGAAACAGGTTTCCCCAGGTCATGATCGGGTCAGTCGCTCAGCTAAATTAAGCAAAAGGTGACAGACAGGGACTCTCCAGACACTTTCTCTCCTCTCTGCCAGCTTGTTGACTGACTGACACAGCTGAGTTTATGAGGATGCACTGTTAAACATTTGTTAGGTAACCCGAGGTCCAGATTATCTGTGCTTTTTTTTCATTGCAGACTGACTGAGGGTCGCTGTGTAGAAAGTGTTGCATGTGGCATGAAGGACACACAACGTGTCTTGATTTGAACCAATGACCAATAGACTCTTCACACATGTATAGAGGGATGAACAATAACCTTATCTGGACAATTAGTGAATCTCTGTAGATCTAGGAAGGATAAATATCCCCAGACAGGATGCGTCCTTCAGATTTGACGTGTTCACATGCTGGCACTCCTCGGCTCAATAAACAATGCTATGTTAAGTCTCTGAAACTTCTTCGTCACACCTGAACCTGACTCACAATAATTCTTCAACAACTGCAGGCACGGTCCCCGCGATCCTATACGCAGGATAAGCGGTTGACGATGGATGGATGGATGTAGGCACTCTTGAGTGGTGAAGAAGTTCATTTTCGCTCCCTGTACATGCAGTGTTTACATCCGTCCACTAGATGTCAGTATATTCCCTTTGTCAAAGTCTTGGTGTGGTGATGTCCACCTGTGGGAATGTTGTCTTTAAACAGTAGCTACTATATACTGTTACTGAATATTGTAAACATTAGATCCAATAGTCACTAACAACAGAGTACCATTTCTTATTAGCTTAACTATTGGTGATAATATTCAAGACAAGCAAAAGGGTTATAGCAGCAAATGTTGTTTTAAATATTACAACAAATTAAACCTTATTTAAACATGACATGTTATTTATTCCCGACATTCTTGATTTGCACAGCAAGGAGAATTGTTGTATTTTCTCAGTATCCTTTGAGCAAATGAGATGGCACCCATACAGAAAAAGGCTGTAAAATGTGGGGGTTTTGTACTGATGACAGGTTATTCTCCCTATGTATTTTTTCTTGATCACTCACAGTGAGTAATGAGGTCAATCCTAATTTGCAGCCATTAAAGTGTTTAGGCTTATGTGAATCATTTTCCATACTCTACATTTGCCCAATAACTATATTATCCTCTCTATATTTCATTCATTATTGAACTATAGTGTTAGAGTGTTTTCATGGGCCTGTGTGATTCAGGGTTATTTTCACTGCATCTCTGTCCCTGACCAGACACTTGGATATGGGAAAACTTTTGAAACATATGGTGTAGTTTCATGTGGTTTCACCCGACCCCCTCAACTGCATTAGTATCAGTGAAAACCTGGCCTTGGATAACACCTTTCATGGCATTTCATATTTCACAATTGTTAAACCTTATTGGAGCTAAATGTAAAGAAAAGAGCAGGGCCTCTCTGTCCTGCTACAGACTCCTCAGGGTGTAGTATTGTCTGAGGTCTGCACCAAACATCTGTCCTGCTGTGGCACGACTGTGTCACTCGGGGCCGGTGGTCCCTAGTCACGACCTAAATGATGACAAAATTCTGCACCAGGGAAAGTTGACGTCACCGCGGTAGAGTCACCACCTCGGTGACGTCACTTGAAGGAGGCTGGGTGGCAGCAGCCGGGGTTAATGCCATCTGCTGGATGGAATCAGCCAGTCACCCAGCATTACGTCATCCGGGAGAAACCGGTGTCAGCACCGGATCGGTATAGAGAGTCTGGATCTGCATGCAAAGCGAGATGGACAAATAATCAGTTTGATACAGCAGGGAGCTTAAACCGCTCTAAGATTAGCTGACAAAAGTATACAGATCTCTACAGTTTCTGTGGAAAAGGAGATATTCTCTTACACCTTAAACTTCAAATTTGTCTGCTTGTCTAGTGTGGCAAATAGGAATATAAAGTTGTGGAATTGAGACACAAAGTAATTGTTTGCTTGGGTTAACCCATTAAAAAGAAGATAAGATAGGGACATTATTATTAGGCTATATTGATGTTGCTCAATGTACATTGTATAAATAATAAAGAGAACATAACTTCGTGTGCCTTATTGTCCCTAAGAGAAAATCTGTCTTGTAGCCAGGTGAAACACAGACTAGGCTAAACATAAGCTAACATAAAATAATAAAAACATGTAAAATGTTTAGTAAAAGCCACCACACTTCCTCACATAAAATGCTATTTGCATCAAGTGAGAAGACATAGATACAGCAAGAGTTCATTAAACACACTGGCAAAAAAAGTATACACAATGTGTTTAATAAAATAAAATAATCAGAATGTGAGCAACAACTGCTCGTGCTAGTAAATGTGCACAGTTGCAACGGACTGTGCCAAATAGAGGATAATTAGCTGATTACCAAAAGGCTATGAGGCAGATAGCAGAATGTTCTAAAGAAAAACCAGAGAAGTGTTCAGGGGAGCTGCTGTCCATGGTGCTGAAATGGACAAACAGCTAAAAGACAGACGACAGCTTTCGTGTGTAGGCCTATGTTGGCGCTGTAGGCTACACTTAGTTTATAAAACAAACTTTAATAGGTTTATTTGAATTAGCAAAATAATAAATAATGAGCAAGTATCGCGAGAATTGGATATTAAGGTCGGTTGTGCCCCTTGTGATCTTAGTAACTTTGTGTACCACTTGTGTCACTCGTATCTGTGCGTGTGCGTGTTGTTGTCACTGGGTGTGTGTGTGTGTGTGTGTGTGTGTGTGTGTGTGTGTGTGCGCGCGTGTGTGTAGTAGCCACTGTAAAGGCTGCGCGTGCGTGTGATGATGGTGAGGACCCCATTCTCACATGAGTAAGCGCTCCTCCGCAAAAAAAGAGGAGAGGAAGGAGGGCTGCATGCTCATTGACTGAGAGAGAGAGTAAGAGAGAGAGAGTGAGTGAGCGAGCGAGCGAGAGAGCGAGAGAGAGAGAGAGAGAGCTAAGAAGTCGTACGGACCGATACCGCCCTAACATCCAGCTCCAGTCCGAGACAGCGGAGGAACCACAGCCCAGCCGAGTGATCCAGGGGCCCCCACAGCTCGACTCAACTACCGGCGTAGAAAACGGAGATGGGCTCCTCCTGAATCCGGGCGGTGGAGGGGAGAGGCGGGCAGGCGGGGGGTGGGGGGGGACGACGACAAGAGTGTGGTGGAAGAAACACCCAGAGAGGACAAACAAAAGCACAACCGAGGGTGCCTGCAACCATGAGCGGCTTGCACTATTCGCCAGAGCTGCGGCTGCCGCTGCCGCTCTACACGCGGACCACGTCGTGAGGTGTGGCTCGGAAACGCTCCGGGGAACCTGTCAGCCGAAACGACTCGCCGAGGAGGAGGAGGAGGTGGTGGGGTGGTGGTGGAAAAGATGTCCGCCTCGGTGGGGCCCCAGGGTGGCCCTCGCCCACCCACCGTGCCGCCATCCATGCCGGATCTGCCGGACCTCAGCCATCTCACCGAGGAGGAGAGGAAGATCATCATGGCAGTGATGGCTCGGCAAAAGGAGGAAGAGGAGAAAGAACAAGCTATGCTAAAGTAAGGGCAACATTTTCCTCTTCTGTGGAAGTTAGAACGCGTAACGCAGAGCAATCCCTGTTAGAAAGATGTCCCTTGTACACCGAACTGCCCGTTACAACCCAGTGTTACCATTGTAGTGGTTACCATCACACACCCATCACATACAGTAACCACTGGCCGATGCATCTGCTCTGCCATCATTGTGCACTTGTAGCGGTGGTGGCGTGTTCCCTAAAAAGAAACCCACCAGCATGAAGACACAGTAGCTCAGTAACAGCTCAGGGTGGGTTTCTAAAGCTGCTCAGCATCACCAGAAATACAGCGTGCGTTATGAGGCGTGATGCTGTTGGAATAAATCAATACTTGGAAACAATGTAGGCTGCCGTCACCGTCACTGGAGATGACCCGAATCAGGGTCAAACGTACAGATGTAGAGAGTGCCGCGAGGATAGGGTGTGACAGTGCCGGTGGAGGTGGTAGTGGTGGTGGTTGTGGGGGAGGGGGTGCTGGTGATGAATCATAGCATTATCCATCTTTCACCCACTCGTTTTCATCAATGGGGACTGCACCCCATCCCTCAGTTTACACCTCCAACACCGCTCTGATTTTCCTTTTTACGCACGCATGCAGACTGGAGTGGCTTTATCTGTGTGTGTGTGTGTGTGTGTGTGTGTGTGCGTGCGCGCGCCTCTGTGTGTGTGTTTGTGTGTGTGTGAGAGAGAGAGAGGAGAGAGAGAGAGAGGGAGACAGCGCTTTGACAAAAATGGGAATAACAATGACATTATAGCTCTTAGGCCTGGAGCGACACAAACCGTTTTGTAAGCCCGACAGACGGACGCTGGTGAGGCGGTGTGTACGGTCATTTGTGCTCCCCTCGGCGGAAAGGAGAAGATGGGGTGTGGTTGGGAATCTTAGCAGGCCTGAAACAGACACCTTACAGATTAGAAAAGAGACCAAATATATTTTTGCACCTTTGCAAACCCTCTCTATATTGATCAAATGCCAGCTCTGAATCTGAGCTGTGTATGGAAAAGAATAACCGGTGATAGATTACAGAATGATGAGACTATACAGA